TGTGCCATAATCAGGTTCACATTATAGATAGAAAAAAAGAATGCACAACAGTAATTAATCAGCAATAGAAAGACAGAGAGAAGAAACAGGTAAGTATGAAAGAACAGATCTGATATATATATGAGAAAGAAAAGAGAAACCTATTCTCTTATAATCATAACATCTATAGTAACAAAAATCGAGAAATAGTGACCTCTATTTCTACATCTTACTATTCATTTAAAAAAAAAAAAATTAACGAGTTAGAAATTAGTATGAAGAAAGTAAGAAATACTTATATATAAATATATTTAAATAGAAAGTTGATCTTTTAAATATCTCATGTTGCGGTTTATGATTTATTTCAAATTGTATCCAGTCATTTTTACTGTGCTTAGCTCTAAGCGACAATCTTTTAAGAAATTTACTATTTTTTCTGAATCCTAGGCTTTTATACCATGTGTTGGCATTAATGGCAATCTGAAATGCAGTCCAGGTATGTATATATTGTGTAGCCTCAAGAGATCTTTCGAGATGCAAAGAAAAGCGAGACCAGTATGTATATAAATAATCATAAAGAGTTTTTTCCTGACTGAGAATCTGAGTAGTAATATTATCCCATCCATACAGTCCGTATACTATTTTTATTCCAGAAATGAACATAGAGTTGATTTTTTGTTGCTGTTTATCGGTAAAGAAAAACCATGTAGAAAACAACCAAATAAAATGGGGTAAGGAGAAAGCGAAAAAAATTTTACGTCTAATCAATATTTCTTTTTTAGGTATATTATAAAATAAAACTTTCATTGCATTGTATGTGCCTTTAATTTTACGCAATTTATCATCAATATATTTTCCCCAGCCTAACTTAGTAGTGATGGTAACACCTAAGTATTGAAAAGAGGTAACATAATCTATATTTTTATCTTTAAATTTGATTTTAGGAAGAGATGGAGAAACAATATTATGTATTAATACAGCTTTTGTCTTTTGAATATTAACGGGTAAGATATGGTCATCCGCAAATTTTTCTAAAATTAACATCGCTTTATTTGCTCTTTCTTCTAGTTCCACAACATTTAACGAAAATTTATTCTCAAGTGATCCTGATAGTATTAACGCAAGGTCATCAGCAAAAAGATGGGATATGACTTGATGAAAGAAAGATGGTAAATGATGTATATGGAGCCTGAATAACGTTGCTGCGAGTATTGAACCCTGTGGAGCGCCAACTTCCATCTTTATAGTTCGTGACACATAGTCTCCGTAATGAATTGATATAGTACGATTACTTATCCATGAGGAGATCCATTTTATATATGCTAGGGGCATGTCGAGTCTGGTCAAAGAAGAAATAAGAGCACAAAACCACATTCTATCGAAGGCTGACATAAAATCTACAAAAATTGCAAGAGCTGGACGATTACAGGCAGCTATTGTTAAGCGAATATCCTCAATTAGTGAAACAATCCTTGTTTGAAGTCTTCTATTAGCAGTAAATCCTGATTGTTCATCAACAAAAATATTATTATTCTCACACCATTTTAATATTCTTTTATGTATAATTCTTTCAAACCATTTTCCTAAATTAGGGAGCAATGAAATCGGTCTTAATTTATTTTCAGTCGGAAATAGTCCATCTTTGGACAAGCACACTACTTTAGCATGTTTACTGTCGACAAAGAATTCCCCTTTAGCAGCACAATGATTAAATAAAACAGTTATGATTCCTATATATTCTTGTGGGAGTTGTTTTATCATGAAAGCAGAAGTGCCAGTACTGTCTAAAGATTTTTTCTTTTTAAATTTTTTCCATTCTTGTAGGACTTCAACAACAGTTATTGGCTCCAGCGGAATATTAGGTGTATACTCAATGTTCTCAAAAATTTCAACTGATTGTACGTGTTCATTATTATTATTATCATGCTGTGGTTTTTTGAAATGAGTCTCAAAGTAATTTGCTAAAGTCTCAACTATTTTATTTCCATCTGTTATTTTTTCTGAACCTATTGTTAGTCCACGAAAAGGCGGAGTAAATGCATGAAAATGCGGCTTTACAAATGTCCACACATTATTTCCTTCAGCAACCCATTTAAGTTTTTGTTCTTGTTTAGAGTTTAAAAAATCCGTTCTTTTAGCAATAAAAATATCTTTTAAATCTAAATACAATTGCAACCTTTGTAAACATTTCATTCTTCTGTAAGCACGTCTAGCTCTATTTACAGATTTTGCAAGTAGAACTAAATCAGGAGGCCAGGGAGGTCGATATTTAGCAACTGTTTCATAAACACTACATCTGTCACTCAACGCAGATAGAAATGAAGAGAATAGAGAAAAAAAAGTTTGTTCATCAATATTATATACCACCGAAAGCCAATACTCATAAACCATAGTAAGGAAATAATTATAAATTCTCCAGTTCGTTTTTTTAAAAAAAGAATCCTCGTTAATTGCTAAGCATGATTGAAACAGGACCGGCCAATGATCAGATTCTCCTTCGTCAAGCACTTCAGATGTCCAACCACTAGCATTCTGAGAAATGCCGAAATCAATAATAGAATCAGACCTTTTAGACGTAGCTTTATTTGGTTTAATCATTTCGTTTCCTGTATTATCAAACCATTCCTGTAAGTGCACTCCGCTCGTGTTATTTCTTTTGCATTCCCAGTTAGTATGATGCGCATTGAAGTCTCCAAAAATATAAAAGGATTGGTTTTGATATTTCGAGAAAAGTTGAAAAGGAGGACGAGAACCTGGGGGAACGTATACAGCACCAATAAGTATAGAACTTGAGGATAAGGATAATTCGATTAGTAAAAAATTTAGATCTTTATCAACTACTTTGCATTTTAAAGACTGTTGGTATAGAATCATAACTCCCCCATATGAATTGGTTCCAGCTTGTGATAGTGTGAGGTAGTTAGGAAAAGAAGTACGCTTATGCACAGCAGATCCAACCCCTGTTAATATACAAATATGAGGTTGATAAGATGCTAATAAAGAGTCAACATCCGCAACATGAGTATTTAAGCTTTCAACATTGAACAAAAGGAGTAAAAGATTATGTTTCACGCATATAGGTCTCTCTTTTTTCCACATATTACACAAATTAGAGATAGACACACGAGAGTTCCATTCTTTCAACATTTCAAAAATCAGTTTTTTATCTTTTTCAGTTCCAGTGTACAAGTCAATTAACTGAGGAGAAATTGTCGGCGATGAGTAATGAAAAAAACTATTATTCATCATTTATCGAAATACTATTGACTGCTTGTGCTAGAAGCTGACCTTGTTTATCAATAAGATCGTTAATTGACTTTTGATTTGAGATAAGTAAGTTATTATGTTCTTTCATATATTCAATTGATTTGGAAATTTTATGTATAATAATTTGTACATCATCATTGTTATCATCATTTGTATTTGATTTGTTAACTCGTAAAGTAATAAGTTTGAATGCTTCAAGCGTTGATAACATTAATGGAATAAAATCAATCATTGTTGAGTAACATCTTCCAATATTTTCATTATGATCTTTTGATTGAGCTGTCATAATTTGTAATGCTGTCTTTAATTTACTCACTTTGTCATTATATTTAGACTGTAAATTTTGTATTTTAATATCAAAATTTTCTTTTAATTTATCGATTTCAATTTGTTTAATTTTTAGTTCACTCCAAATTGATTCAACAGCTGATTTATCAATATTATTCACATTATTATTATTGAATTGATCATTATTAAGTAATGGCCAAGCATGAGAATTACTGTTAAAAGACATCTTATTTGTTTGACTTTTTGATGAATTATTCATCAAACTAGAGTTATTCGATAATGGATTGGTTATAAATCTATTGCTCTTATTTCCATGCATACGATATTCAGTTGGGATGAAAATTTGTACATTTGGTGGTAGTAGTTGTGGATTTTGTTGTAGCTGAAATAGAAGAGAACGACGATAATCGATTAAGTATTGACATTTAAAATCTGTTGCCATGTGTTGTTGTTTGCAGCGATGACAGCATATAGTACAATCTTTGTGCTCCCCTACAGATCTATCTTCACCACATCGACGACAAGCTTCATACTCAAATCTGCAATTTTTGCGAATATGACCAGGATCATTGCATCTTGTACATATAAGAATACGTGGAGGAGCGAGAAATTCTTTAATTTGAATTAAGAGAGAATCAATAGTAATTCCACCTTTATCGAGTAGTTGTTTATATTCCAATGTAGAATTAATCTCCATCCGTACATGCCTATATTTTTCAGTTTTTGTACCATTAACTTCTTCTAAGTTAAATATAGAATCAATAGATAAACCAATTTCTTTTTGTATATCATTTAAGGTAATGTAGTTCGGTACATATTTTAGAATTAAAGAATGATCACCTGGAAGATGTTTTGGTTTTGAAGGTAATATATCAACAGAGTTAATAGTTTTTGGATACTTTTGTGGATCACATAAATAAACGAAAAGTTCGCTATGACGTGTATAACAGACTAAATCACCATTCTTATTAATATACCAATAATCAAAACCCAATGGAAGTTTATAATGTTTATTTATTGAACGAAAACGTTTTTCAATATATTCAAAAATTCCTTTAATTATTTCTTTTCCTTTTAGATGATCAGTTAATTTAGGATCACATTGAATGTAAATGGGCGGAAGATGTTGCTCTACCGCGTAGTTTAAAGCTTGATGTGAAATATTTATATTATTTTGACATGGATCATTAACAGCTGATATATTTTGACATATATTTTTTCGTTCTGTTGAATTATTGTGATGACTATGTATAACATTTCTATCATTCCTTTGCATATTACTACTTTTGCTTGTTCTTCTATTTGTATTATAGAATAGTCGTCCGTTACTATTATTTGTTAGTGGACTATTGCGAACAGTAAAATTTGTATCATTGTTTTCGTTTACATTGTATGCAAAACCATTGTTAAGTTTTTGTTGTTTACTTCGATCAGGTTTGGTAAATACTTGAATAGGATTATTACCAATTTCTTGAATGTCTTCACCATACTGATTATTTGATGTAAGTTGTCTTTTAAATTTTGAATTATCTTTATTTATATTGTTTAGGTCATAATTCTTATTTGCATTGTGCCCATTTTCATCATTTTGAATAATTATCTCTTGAATTATTTCAACATCTTTGTCACATAATGGATCATCTTCTTCAGTTGCCATTGGCTTGTAATTATTATTATTTAATATATCTGACATTATAATTGTATTTTAATAATTTCATACAATAAATTTAATATAATAAAAAAGAAATTACACGATGTACGAATTAAGATATGTTCGAACATATACGAGAGGAAAGACAAAAACGTCTTACTCTCACCGTGTAAAAGTGGAAAGTGAATGTGTGCATATTCTTTCGCAACAAAATGCATAGTTTGAAAAAGAGAAAAAAGTTACGAATATTATTACTCTATAAAACCAATGAAATGCATTATCTGCCGAAGCGAACATACAAAATGACATATACATAATATCATCAGAAATGTACAAGCTATTTGGATTCTTTTCAAATCGTCTCATTTAAGAAATTTCATTTGGTAGATTCTACATTTAAATCATTTGAAAAAAAGTCAAATAAATAGCTTTCTTATTTAATACATAGATCAGAAATATATAGTTGAAATATTCAGAAGAACCGTGGCATATACCACGTCGAATACTAATATTTTGTGTTATTGCTAAGAATATCAAATTGTAAAAATCTATCAAGGGTGAGTGTGGGCGTGGTTGTGAGGTGGGTATTGGTGGGTGAAGATGAGTGAGGATGCGTGCGTATGGGTCGGTGGGTGTAGGCGTCGTATTGCTTTGTGAACAAACCACACTCCATTTACACCCACATCTACACACAGATGAAATATTAACGTATTTTTTGCTTATACATCGTTATTGACATTATATTTATGTGCATATGCATCATTTCTTATTATAATTATTACAATGCAAATATATTGATTCAAATATAAGAAAAGAATGAAAGAAGAATATGGCAAAAATATAAATAATAAACGTTCTTTTTGTTTTCTCCGTTTTATATATTATAATGCTGAATGACGAATATCTCTATGATATAATTAATAATGAACAAGATGCACCTTTATGAATATAATTAATTGCTGAAGAATTAATATCACATCATCCTATTACCATCTCTGATCATTCATAGTCTTTGTTAAACGATGTTTTCGATGAAAACTTATTTTTTCTCGCTTGACATTATTCTTCGAAAGAAACTATTGATAAAGCGGGTGCGCCAGAATAAATGGCGGTGTCAGTATTTTCTCAGTTTCTCTTGAGGATGTGGGTGAAAAATAGATGTAATGTCACTACTCACAGCTATACCCACATCCACCCACACCTACACCCACTCAACTTCGACAAATCATATATGATTGTGTGAAATATACGTTTTTATTTGGTTAACATACGATAACTATATACTTCATAAAACAACGAATAGATAAATACAAGAATTAATCTAAGATGGAATTAAAAATATAGAAGGATATGAAAAAATCTCTATGTTATTTTGCTTGGAGTAATTAATACAACTCTGCTCCATCTAGATAATCTCTAAAGCGTGCTCCACCAGTAACTAATACAATGTCACTCGTTAAAACAGATGCTCTATGCCAATATCGTCCATCGAACATACTATCGGCTATTGTCCATGTTTCTGTCACAAAGTCATACAATTCAGCAGTATTAGTGAAATTAATTCCATTATATCCACCAGTAACTAAAACATTTCCATTTTTCAAAATAGATGCAGTATGCTTGCCTCGCGGATAGTTCATGCTAGCAGTGCTCGTCCATGTCCCAGTTAATGGATCATACAACTCAGCATTAATGAGATAACCATTACTGTAATAATAACCCAGTCCACCAGCAACTAACACTTTTCCGTTTGGTAGTACAGTTGCCGTGTGTTGCCATCGCTCAAAATTCATATTTCCAGTCATTGTCCACATTCCCGTTGATAGATCGTATAACTCAGCACTCTTTAAGAAACTACCACTCTGAACTCCACCTGCAACTAGTACTTGTCCATTTAGTAATACTGTCGCCGTATGTACTGCTCGTCTATAATGCATAGCAATAGTACTGAACCAATTTCCTGTTAATAGATCATATAATTCTGCACTATCTAAATCACCTAAACTATTTGCTCCTCCGGTAACTAGCACTGTTCTATTACTTAACAGGGATGCTTCGTGTTGATGTCGTTCAAAACTCATACTGTTGGCTAACGTCCATATTCTTGTTAACGGATCATACAATTCAGCACTATTTAACCAGTTATCGTTGTAATATCCACCACTAACGAATACTTTCCCATTTTCAAATACGGTTGCTGTGAACTGTGTCCTTGCATATTTCATACTGCCAGTAAATGTCCAATTTCCTGTTGCTGGATTATATAATTCAGTACTGCTTAAGTAACTAACATTATCATTTCCTCCAGCAATAAGCACTTCGCCATTGGGCAACACAGACGCTGTATGTCCAGCACGTGCGTTATTCATGCGACTAGTATTAGACCACCCTAAAAAGAAGTATTATAGTCATTCAGAAAATAATATATCTTCGAATTTCGAAAATGCAGACTGTTCATATGACTGTAAAATATCAATTAAAAACATGTCTAAAAGCTGTTAATATAAGGCATAACAATGGTCTTATATCCGGCATACAATAGCACAAGCTGATGATCTCCGATTATCTCGAGAATGTGTAGTATGAACATTGGTGTGGGTGAATGATGATTATAAATCCGAATTCAATTTTAATCGCAGGTCAATACGATATACGACTAAGTCATATATCATTCATCAACTGATCAATGGAAAATTCCTCTCAGAATTAAATACGACATTACTTGCTATACAAAATTCGGTGGCAGACAATGGTAAACACACTGCTTGTGGTGAACAACATGTGTTGACAATACAGACAGAACTGTTTGTTCTACAAGCAGATGTAACATTATCGCACGGTTCCAATATCGAACATATAACTGCAGGTGCACATAGGGTAATATTAGCAATTGTACGATAGTTAAAGCATGGTGTTGACGACGAACGACAGGTATTTTTATTATTTATTCTCTCATCACATTTTATTAGAGAACAGTTTGTTGTCGGTTGCCATACAGAAGAGGGAGAGGAAGATAATGCAAATTCAACAAACTTATCGTTGTTATTACAGTAATAATTGGGTGCTTCAGTAGTTTGATCTAAAAATTATGTATTTTAGTTTATTGAGTTGTCGTAATATACAAACTAAACGAACTTTTTACATGCACCAGAAAGACATGAAAAATCAGTATTACTAACCATTTCATGTTGCGTGCTCGATCAACAAACAGAAGTAAATGAAAAAAGATTTTTACTATTTCTATACTCTCCAACACTGTTTACGACAACTACTTCAATCTTACAGAACGACAAAAAATTAATTATAGGGCACACTCCTGTTCTTGCAAGAAAGTAGAGAGATTGAAAGCATCTCAGTAAGAGAATGCAGCTAAAATGCGTCTTTCTTTTTCATCATGCTGTGATGATTATATCATGAAAGTATATTAACTTAACATACATCTTGTGAGTGTGAGTGTAGATATCATACTCGTTTCATACTCTCATCGACACCCACTCTTCTTTTTTTTTAACTTGGTAGTTTTCAACATAGACTTTAATATAAGAAACTGAATAAATATTGACACTCATATATACAAGAATTCAATGCGTTGGATGTTCTACAAAAAATATTTCGGCTATTATCATTTTATTCTATGCAGCTATCGCTACAAAGCAAGGATGTGGGTGTGGGTCAATCAATGCTAGTTCCACATCCACACACCAAGACCCACACCCACACTCAGTCCCACACCCTCAAGATACAAATCATACATAAAATAAAATCGTTTTATTTATATTTTATTACGATGACACCCGAAAAAGACAGTTATACAGATATTCATTAATATTTCTCTACCAGTGATCAGCGTATCGACGATATGAACAATTCATATTTTGCCAATCGCATGTTCAATTGAATCAATTCATTGATTTCCTTCTTGAGTTCGTATCCGATCTGATTGTCGTCGATATGTAATATGGCAAGCGTCTGTATAAAAAAAAGTACAGATGGATATATGAAATAGATCACGAAGAGAATGATAGTCACTGTATTAGTTCGTAATGCATCTGCTAGATATTGTGCTCCAATATCTGTGATTTGATTGTAGCCAAGATTCAATGTAGTAAGTGTCTGAATAAAAAAGTGCAGATGAATATATGAAATAGATCACGAAGAGAATGATAGTCATTGTATTAGTTCGTAATGCATCTGCTAGATATTGTGCTCCAATATCTGTGATTTGATTGTAGCCAAGATTCAATGTAGTAAGTGTCTGTATAAAAACGTGCACATGAATGTATGAAATAGATCACGAAGGGAATGATAGCTACTGTATTAGTTCGTAATGCATCTGCTAGATGGTGTGCTCCAATATCTCCGATTTGATTATTGTTAAGATCTAATGTGGTAAGCGTCTGTATACAACAGTGCAGATGTCTATAGGAGATAGATGAGTAGCAGAATGATAGTTACCGTATTATTTTGTAATGCATCAGCCAGATGCTGTGCTCCAAGAGCTTCAATTCGATTCTGGCGGAGATATAATGCGGTAAGCGTCTTTATAAAAAAATTGCAGATAGATGTATGAGATAGGTGAGAAACAGGATGATGGTTACCGTATTATTTTGTAATGCATCTGCCAAATGCTGTGCACTAATAGCTTCGATTCTGTTGAGGCCGAGATCTAACATAGTAAGTGTCTGTATAAAAACGTGCACATGAATATATGAAATAGATCATGAAGATAATGATAGTTACCATATTAGTTCGTAATGCATCTGCTAGATGTTGTGCTCCAACAGTTTCGATTGGATTGTTGGAGAGCTTCAACTCGCTAAGTGTCTTTGTGAAAAAATATAGATTGATATATGAGATAGGTGTGTAACAGAATGACAGTTACCGTATTATTTTGTAATGCATCTGCCAGATGTTGTGCGCCAATAGCTCCGATTTGATTATAAGTGAGATCTAATACGGTAAGGGTCTGTATAAAAAAACGCAGATGAATATATGAAATAGATGAGGAACAGAATGATGGTTACCATATTCTTTCGTAACGCATCCGCCAGATGCTGTGCACCAATATCTCCGATACTATCCGAGCAGAGATTTAATGTGGTAAGTGTCTGTATACAAGAGTGCAGAGGAGTATATGAGATAGATGAGTAGCAGAATGGTAGTTACCGTATTATTTTGTAATGCATCAGCCAGTTGCTGTGCTCCAAAAGCTCCGAGTTGATTGTAGGAGAGATTTAGTTTGAAAAGTGCCTTTGTGAAAAAGTGTAGATAGATGAGTGACAGAATGATAGTTACCGTATTATTTTGTAATGCATCCGCCAGATGTTGTGCACCAATAGCTCCGATTTGATTGGGTCCGAGATCCAATGTGGTAAGCGTCTGTATAAACAAGTGTAGATGGATGAGTAACAGAATGATAGTTACCGTATTATTATGTAATGCATTCGCAAGATGTTGTGCTCCAATATCTGCGATTTGATTCCACTCGAGATTTAATGTAGTAAGTGTCTGTATAAAAAGGTGCAGATGAATATATCAAATAGATCATGAGAAGAATGGTAGTTACGGTATTATTTTGTAGTGCATCCGCTACATGTTGTGCTCCAACAGCTCCAATTTCATTGCGATAAAGATTCAATTCGGTAAGCGTCTGTATAAAACAGTGCAGATTAATATAGAAGATAAATCACGAAGAGAATGATAGTTACCGCATTATTTTGTAAAGCATCTGCTAAATATTGTGCACCAACCGCGCCGATTTTATTGAAGCCGAGGTTTAATATGGTAAGTGTCTTTGTAAAATAGTGTTGATGGATATATGTGATAAATGAGTAGCAGAATTATAGTTACCCTATTAGTTTGTAATGCATCGACAAGATGCTGTGCTCCAATATCTCCGATATTATTCTCATAGAGGTTTAATGTGGTAAGCGTCTGTATAAAAAATGTGCACATGGGTATAAGAAATAGATGAGTAGGAGAATAATATTTACCGTATTATTTCGTAATGCATTCGCTAAATACTGTGCTTCAAAGCCTTCGACGCCATCACCCCTGAGATCTAATGCGGTAAGTGCCTGAATAGAATAGTATAAATGTGTATATCGAATAGATAACGAGGAATGGGGAGTTATTAGATTATTTCATGAGACTTTAGTGAAATGTTGCGAAGAAAGGTAGCGATGTGAGAGTGTGGTTTGTTGTTTTTTTCGCAAAACTCCACCTCAGGGAACCGAATTAGACGAGAGTCTCTACTAGCTTGTTATACGTCAACGAACTGTTCTGTATTATTTTTGAAAAGTATAAGAACAGCAGTTAGAATTAGCGAAATTCAGGTGCGATTCTGAAATCGAACAATTAAGAAAATGGAAAGAGTTCTAGAATCAGTAAGAAGTAAAATAAAGACCTTCTGAAAAAGGCCACAGGTTCGTCACGAAATCAAATGAGTTTTAGAAAATGTAGGACTGCTTAGAAATCAAAAAATTCAGTTGTCTTCACATTGTTTATTGTGGTTATGCTTCCCTAGATGGATCATTTTGATGGTCGATTTCTATAGGATACGATCCATGTCTTAGCAGTATCAAATAGTATTATAAAACCCACATCTAGTGCTGATGGAATGGAATGTGATTTCGTCCCACAGTTTCAGATCTTATAGAGTCCAATTAGATCTGTCATCAATTTTATAAACCTGTGCTTATCATCTTCTCGCTCTCATCCACTCTATAATTTTATCAATATCTCTTGAATGTCTTCAGTTTCTTGTTTTTCATGGTGGTACAAGTCTTACTGTTCATATCTGTGTAATATTTTGGCTATACTTTAATATTAGATCTCTTCGGACTGCAAGATCCAACAGAGTAGGAATGATTGACTTATTTTACCTAAAATTCTTGTAAAGCCTTCAGTCTCTGTCAAAAAGTCTAGATGCATATGTAAAAGCAGTTTCTGCTTTCCTTTCTCTTTCAAATATTACACGTGTGTAAATAAAAATATTATGAGAGCAGTGGATTGTTTAGAAAACAACGAAAAAAAAAGTTGCTTTTATGTATATCTCATCATTATTTTATTCAGTAATATCTTCTCAGATCTATGGAGTGTAAGAACAAGAAATAATCTAAAGACACACTATCATAATTAAAAAAGGTTTACCTGGTATCGGTAGTAGCTATCAACGATTGTATTAAATCGTTGACAGACATTTCGCATTGAGCACAGCATTGTCAGGTCACTTTGATGATCCAAAATTCGGTAGACAATTTCTACCGGTAGTGTAAGAAAAGTAAGTGGCATTTGATTCAACATTGATTAAAATTGTTGAGATGGTTTTGCGTGGCGTTTTATGTTGGTATAATGAAGTGTATTGTTGCTTTGTTTCTTTCGTCTTATACGAGTTTATATTCGTGATATGTTATCAATTTCTCATAGTGATGAAATTACTTGTTTAAAAAGAGAAAATGCAAAAGAATGATGATAAAGACTTCACTGAGATAAGAAATAGAACTTATTTATCTAAAGGTATGGGTCTAAGTGAAGAAAAGATGAATCTAAACGCACATTCTCAAATTAAGATTAACCCTTATATCGTTACATAAAAAGTACTCTGTTGAAATTCAAAATTATTAGTATAGATAATCTTCAACAAGCAAATCATCTTCTAGTATTACAGTTATTTTAGAATGCACTGACGCGTATATGATCGATTGATAATAGATTCCTATACATTAGGCAATGAATTTATATCGATAATTACCTTTTTCTAGTCATATATGATTTATTTTATTAATAAAATATGAAATCTTCGAAGTGCAAACAAAGAAAAGAACAATATTGAATTTCTATTGTAGATGGTAATAAATAATATACGACTCTATATAGATTGTCAACATTCTTTTTTCATGCTGAGAGAAATTTCAATCATCTATTTTGTTAAACAATTCATATAAAACTTTCACACAGTCGAAATAATGTTAAACCAAAAATTGTTATCGGCTGAAGGTTCATCTAAACGCAACTTGCACTCTCATGCACATGTATCTGTATCAAGAGTAGCCACTCCTGCTCGCCTTAATCACCATCAGCCGGTTCCACATGAACAGAAATCATCAACAAGTGGTAAATCTCGTATAATAATTCATAGAACTATTCGATCATCCGACAACACGAGTCGTTCAATACAAAACAAAGCTATCAATTCCAATGTCGATGCATATTCAGTAAGATATTTTGTTTCTTTTATTCTTAATCGATATGTATTATTATATTTAAATAGATACCCACTATTCTACCAGCTCGTGATCGTCAAAATACAGTAAATCATTCTGATGTTAATATTAATTCAAGTGAACACGTACAGAATGTCTCACTATCGGTTAGTATTAGTAAAGTCTCATATAGATATCAATTATTGTTATATATAGTCATCGTATAATGGTTGGTATGACAATAACGGAAGCAATAGTCGTTGACTACGAACGAAGTAAGTTATCGTCTATATTTTGTTGTTAACTAAACTAGTTTGATCATTATATTGATTTATTTTTAGAATTCTATTCATAATACCAATAAAAATATGGTAAGATATATTCTTTTATATATTCTTGAATTCACTTAAAGAAATTAAATAATAGAATATCCACGATCGCTTCTCAAATACAAAAAGCTTTCACAATGATTGAAGAAATGATGAAAAAAAGAAGAAATAGTAAATTTTAATTTGTTTCATATAATATTTGTAACTTTGTACGATGTAGATGTGCGTGGGCTTTATGTTGTCCATGTTTACCTCTATCTTTACTTACTGCTATTCTATTAAGTACTGTTATTGCTGCAGTGCTTGCAGGTATTTTCATTAAATCAAAGACAACAATATCGACATCTACAACTGGTAAAAGAAGAAAGAAAGAATTTCAAATTTGTTTCTCTGTTCTTATGTTGATTAAGATGTCACGACGACAACGATCAGTACTACTCTCACGACAACCACTGAAACAAGTAAATATTCGTGTTAATACTTCTATTTTATCACATTTTTCTTTTGATAAAGCTACAACATGTACTACACCAACTAGTACTGCGCTTTCTTATAATACTACTACCAGCGTTTATACGTTGACAGCATACAATTATACAGCTTCATCCACAGGTTTTGCTGTACTTGAATTTGGCTTTAGGGGACAAAATAATTATTGGTATCTAGACGATGTTAGTCTTGTGGACACTAATGCATTGAATTCAGAAATGTTAGTTAATGGTACTATCGAGGGATGGCAACTATTATGTACTTCAAATTGTTTATCAGCAGCAGGAGTCATTACATATAATACATTATGTTATGCGGGCTTATTTTGCTATACAGATGGCTGTAAAAGTGGATTTGATTTTCTACGACAAGAATTTAGTACAACAATTGGACATATCTATACACTTAGTTTTTGGATAAGAACCGATACAAAACCTCAACAATATGCATTTGTTAGGTTCTTTTAAATGAAATTGAACTTATGTAATATCTTAAATAAACTATCAGCATACTCGGATATACATAGTGTGTTGAATTTATTTTCATGGGGTATTAAGAATATTTAATGAAAAGACTATTATGCTTTATAGTATGAAACGGAAAGATTAGATCGAGAACAGATATTTTTCGGAGATTAAAGACAAGAGCAATATTCCATGTGATCAATCAGTGAAGGGTGTGGGTATATCTTGTCTCCTCACACAGACACTCACCTACACCCGCCCACCCTTATTCTTCAACATTGAAAACATGCCGTTAGTCTTTTATTCTGCATTCTGTATGTAGACTGAATAATATTGTATTAACATGAATTTTATAATAATATTTAGAAAATTCTCGTCATGCATAGTGAAAAATTAAAAAAATATTTTTTATTTTCTTTTTCAAAATTTCATTAATATCTCAATGATTTTCTACATTCACAATTTCAAGACGAATGTAAGAATAACAAAAAAATACCTTGCATACTCAAATATGAAAACTGAAGTGGATGGCTGTGACTATGCATGAGAGTAAGTCTCTCTATATGTCTATAAAACAAACCAGATATAAAAAGCGATAAAAAAAGGAATGGAGGAGAACAATAAGCAGACGCACGTCATACACGAAATAATCAAGTTTTATGAAGACAGATCGTATGGCTTCACCTTTTTCTTCGTTCATGTTGTGGTCTTCTCAAATATAAAACCAATATTTTCTTTATAAAGATGTTTTTTTCTAACGGCAGAAAATAAAACTTTTACAGACACCACTGAGGTAATATTTCTGTTCTGATGCTATAGCGCACATAAAAACACTACATAACTGAAGCGATTTTTTCCATTCTATTACATTCATTAATACATCATTGCTTTCTTTGAACGGTTACAAACCTTCCAAACAAATATAAAATGTTGGATAAATAATTAAAAAACCGTGTTTTTTTTGTGTAGATTATTACAACAAAAATGTCAGACAACGAAGAGCAAAATGAGTCTATTGCACAATCAAACACAAATGCATATAGAAACAGTGACCATCGACGAGTGCGACGCCGATATTATCAGTGGCCCAAACGACACCATTCAGTGCTTAGAAAGGTAAGAGTTGTTGCTAAAACCAGTTTGAAAAAAACTATCCCTTGACTCTTAGAGATGTATATTACCTCGCGGAAATCGTCGCAATATTCGTTCATCACGTCGGCAGTCAACAAATTTGCCACCCGAAATAATTCATGCTAGCACACAAACAGATATAACTAGTGGTATTGATTTTTACTAATTGATATGTAAATTTTTAAAAAATGTATTTTAGAAACCGAACAAGAAATGTATCCAAATGATTGTAGTAGTATTAGCATTGAATCAAGAGAGAATCAATCAGACCCAACTGAATCAGTGAATGAACAAGCTTTAACACGTAAGAATAATCAATTAAACTGGAAATAAATCCATCTATTTTTGTTTATTCTACAGCGACGCATATTACACCGATGGCACAGATCAATTCTCCTGACGGTTCTCAAATTCTGTTTTTCTCAGCGACTAATGGTAATCCATTTCTATTATGAAATTTTCATTTAGTATAATTATTGTTTAAAAATTTGATAGGACCAGTTACACCCGCTACTCTGCCATCATCTCCGATCTCTTCTCAAGCTCGTTTTAATTTCGTGACCGAAAATCCCATGAAAGTCGCCGTTTCCTATGCTGGCGAAACAGAGTCTCGAGTCACAGTGATCAGTAAACTGATTCATGATAAACTTAGTACTCCAGAGAGTCCTTTTCCCGTTTTCTACGCACCTAATTTTCAAGACGAATTGGCTGGATTTAATGGTATGAAGAAATTGCTAAAAATATATCGAAAAGCTTCTCTCGTCGTTGTATTTCTTTCCACTACTTATCACACATCACCTTTTTGTGAAGAAGAATGGAGAACAATAAGAAATCGTTTCATATATGCTGAGAAAGAAGAAGAACGTAAACGGTTACTATTTGTCAAACTGACTGATTACAATGCAGAAGAGCTTAACCTTGTTTCTGATGACTTTTATATCGATGGATTGAAAATGAATGATCAACAAGTGGCTGATTTGATTGTTAGTCGATGGCGTAAGTTAGAAAAGCCGGCCATTCAATGAAAGACATGACAAATAATTGTTTTTGGCTAGTTAGAATACACTGATACTGTCTACCATAAAATATTATCATGCTTCTATCTGGATTTTATCATATTTCTGAAATAAAATCTTTTATAAAAGTTTCTTTTTAATATGATTTGATTTATTGTACACATATTATACTTCGATAACAAAGGGATATGAATGTAAATATAGGCGGATGAAGATCGAATATAGTAAATTTACTTGCAATCATACTGATGCTTACCTGCAAGGTGGTGTGAATGAAGAAATAATGCATATAAATATCTAACCGCATCCATACACATCCATAACTACACCCTCAAGAAAATAGATGGACAGATAAAGTACATAGAAACGTTCGTCTTTTGTGAAATGTACTATATCTTTCTAAATTATATTCATAGAAGTAAAGTTTTTGAATTTGTAAAGATATTTGAGAGTGGATGTGGGTGTGAATGTGGCTAAATAAAAGATGAATCCACACCCACACCCTCAACAAAAATATTCTTTATCCATTTAAAAACAAATGAATAGTTTTCATCGTATTCTGATCTATGTTAAAAACAATATGCTATATTGTCTCCTATATCACATTTCTCTTCTCTTCGTTGTTTTTCTTCTCTGTTCTCTATCTTTTGAACTTCTTTGATATTTATTCTCATTTATAAATGTGTAATATACATGCTCTGTGTTAAAAATTTTGCTTATATAATATTGTTTGAAGATTTATGAAACATTATAGAAATATAGAGCTCGACTTGAGCTATCAGAATATATAGAAAAAAAATTCCAAAGGCTTCTGTAAAAAATGACAGGATCGACACCACTACTTTTGGATGTGGGTCTCTTCTCTTAATACTCACCCACATCTTCAAAATGCTTGATGAGTTACAAGAGCAAAAGTCATACATATGTTAGATCACCCACATCACACAATAAACCATTTGAATTAATGTGCAGAAAAACACTTATCTTCAAGAAATGATTAAAATTTGAAAAGATGATTTATTCTTTAAAAAAAGTGAGACTGGATCCAATCGAGGAGATATTATCCATACCAACCCCACACAAAGTCGAACAAAAATGCTTTCCTGAAAACAACAGAAGAGAACGTCAGATACATTTTTGGGAAGAACACATAACTTATTTTGAAGGATATATGCTTCAACGATTTGTATACTCTCAATCAGAAGTCCAAAACACTTCGAGTAACATTGATGAGTTTACTTATTCATTTTAAAGACCATCTGTGGTAACTATGAATTTTCTTAACGAGAAATGCATAGTTTTCTTGAAGAAAGGAAATGTCTCAAACAGATATAGCGCTGATTTCTTTTTCTCAAACTGAAGACTGCTTCTAACAGATATGAACTATTTATATTTATATTCTTTGTTTCCTTTTCTGTTGGTAGCATCCATGACACAGCGTGATAAGCCTGATTAGTTATTTTTAATCCATTTCTTTTTACCATATATGATCTTCTATAGGGCCGACAATTTCCTCATCCATTGTTGTGTTCTTTTACTTACTGGTGAAGATAGGCCGATTAGCTGTTTTAATGTCTTTTGTTGTGACAGTGTATTTTTTTCTAAACGGTTTTCTTCTGCTTTCACTCAGCTTAAACTTTGAGTAATTTTTACTGAAAAAATAGTTTTGAATTTTTAGTTTTGCTTTTAATACATCGTACCATCCATTAAGTATGTTTAACCAATGCGTTGACCGACTTTTATTGATGAAATAGACTTCTGATTATTATTTTATTTTCACAATCTATGTCATGATTTGAGGATAAGCCGATTCATCTTTTCAGTAGCTTTTTCAATTAACAAGCGCTTCTGTCATTTTCTTCTTTGAAATAATCTGATTTATGTCCTTAGGATTACTTTTACTAATAAAATACACTACTGAATATTTGTTAACTGCACTTAATTAATGACAACCGTAGATAAAACACTGCACAACTTCTATCAGTAACACATAGGATTTGAAATTCTCAACTTGCACAAGTGTATCTATTTCATCTGAATAATTTCTATGTATACGATATACTTCTTTCGTCTTCCTTTTATTAATAAGTGTTGTTATCGGATTATTCTTTAACTAATTTTTCTTATCTAAATATAGATCTAATCACAACAGTTTATATAATAATATAAATACCCCAAGAAATTTCACCATAAATTTAAAAAATAAAATATAAAGGAAGAAAATATTAAATATCCGTCACCTGGAGATCCGTCTTGCATTCTATCTAATAAAGTATATTTATATCGACAAATATTAATAATGTGTCTCTCTCTCCATAAAGATAATATACTATCTAAAGCTAGAGGTTTATGGTAAGATACAAGAGTTACTTTTTTCTCTAGTATACCAAACCGATCAGTATTCCTATCATATATGTTCAAATCTATATTATTGTGTTTGTTTATCAAGATTTTGTCATTGTTGTACTTCTATTTTTGTTTTATAATCAATTTCCTTCTGTTCTTTTTTTTGTCTCATCTAATTTTTCTCCTGCAATATGAGATTAAGACTTACAACAGATAATTACCTTTTGAAATATGTAGCAGCTTATTCAATAGCTCTTCTTTTTCTATGCTCATGAGTATGAAATTCCCCTTGCATTATTTTCTCTGCACAGATAAGGATGTTCTGGAAAGAAGCCATGTGGTACTATTTGTATTATATTCACTATTATCTTTAATGATCGATTTTTCAGCATATTTGCCTTAATATGGACTTATTCTAGCATATGAATCGTGATTATTAAACGAATATTTTTATTTTTTTATCTTTTGACAAAAAAACGCTTCAACTAAAATAAGGAGGACAAATTTATGATATACTGAATTCTATTTATAATATAAATGCACTTTCATAAGTTTTTGATCATTTATTACAAACGCAATAAATGACGTCTTTGCTGAAGGTTAGCAACATATTAAATGTTCTTTTTAACTTATCATTCTTTATAAATGTGATGAATAACGTCTTTACTGGAGGTTAGCAATATATTAATAGTTTTTTCTGAATTTATCATTCCTTGGAAACGCGACGAATGACGTCTTTGCTGGAGGTTAGTAACATATTAAAAGTTTTTTTTTTAATTTATCATTTTCTATAAATACGATGGATGTCGACTAGATATGGCACTTTATTTTTTATTTTGTCGACGCTTTTGTAGACTGTGGGGAGTCTTATGAGTATTACATATACATTTAAGACAGTTATAAGCTCAAAAGAGAAAATTCTTCGTAACTTTAGAATTTGCAGTATAAATATAAGATCAAACGACACTAGTATGAAGTGTTAAACGAAAAAGTAAGTGTGTCGTTTGTTTTTCGCTAAGGAAATAAATATACTGTTTTTTTCCTGACTCGTAAAATATTACACTTGTTTGTTGAAGTTAGTTATAATTCTTAAAAACAATTTTTCTTGATGTTTCTCATATGAAATCTATCATGAACTCCTACCAATTCCTAAGATTATGACATAGTGTAATACATCAATCGATTTAACCAATTATATCGCGCAACTACAATCATACTGTGACTTTTCAGTAACATAACTAGTTTGTACATATACCTAGTGTAATACTTCAATATAGTTATAACACAGCAAAATTATTTCAGATGTTATTTTCCAAACGGATAACAAAGATTTTAATTGACTTACTCTCATGAACTTTATCTTTTGCTTTCAGTCATGCGCAACCTATAGGTTTTTCCTGAAATTTCATATAGTAAATGATAAAGAGAAAAAAAACTTTTATTTTATTATTTTTAAAACATGACTGCTATCATTTTCTTTTCGCGCTCCGTCTATATTATAAGCCGAACTACTTAGCTATTCGAAAAACTAGAAAATCAAATGTCATAGATTTGGAAAGTTGGATAGGATGACACGAATAGATATTCTAACTTTATATCTTGTACGTTGTGCATAAAGAACAAATTTGGCTGACTGAGTCATTAATTCATTCTCCATCTTCTCTTTTCAGATACTATCAAACACACATAATAGTTTCAATGCCAATCTCTAATATTGTTAAGTCTTGGCTCTTTCAAGGTTTTCAAATTCCATCTATTCTATTTGGTATCTTTGCTCTCTATCATTTACTGATGGATCGAGCACTTCGAAATGCACTTCACAATCATGTTATTATTGCCATGGTCTTTGTTGGTCTTATCTTGCAATGTTTCGATGTTTCGGCGCTCGCTTACTACTATCGTACCGGCACTGTATTAGTATCCACAAGAACCTTTTGTGTTGCCTGGACGTTCATTCGTTCCATTGGGATTACAGGAACACTAAATCTAGTGGCTTGGGCGTCGATTGAACGCCATATTCTTATCTTTCATCCAAATTTGGTTCGTACAAAAACAAAGCGATTTTTTCTTCATTATCTCCCATTGGTTATATGCATGATGTATCCTGCCGTATTTTATTTTGCTATATTCTTCATTGTACCTTGTCCTATTACAATGAATTACGAAATAGTAGGTTGTGGTTATTATTCTTGTGTCTTTTTTTACCCGTCACTTGCATTGTGTAATATTGTGGTGAATTTCTTACTGTCTCCATTTATCATTGTAATATTCAGTGCAGCTCTTATTATACGTGTGGTAGCTAGCAAATTCCGCGCTCGCCAACGCATTCATTGGCGTAATTACAGGAATATGGCCATCCCATTATTATCAATATCTCTCGTCTATATCATTCTATACTGTCCACCAATGCTTTTATATACTGCTTATTTGGCTGGTTTATCACAAAATATAGCCGCCGATTACTATTCTGTTACCAGCAGTTTTAATTACTTTGCTATAACGTTCACGCCTATTACATGTGCTCTCTCATTGCCTGAACTTCGAACGAAGTTTAAAATATGTTTTCCATGTTGCCGAAGACGTCGTGCTACTGTTGGTCCACAAGCATTGATGATGACTCGTCCAACAGCTGGTACAACAGCTGCAATAGCAGCAATTGCTAAATAATGACTCTAAAATTACCATAATTAACAAAAATAAGAGTGTGATCTGATCTAAAAATATTAACAGACACTATTTTTCATTGGAAAAGGATTTCATATTGTAGTTCCCCATTCTCACCTTGTTGTTGTCATTGTATTGTTTCGTTCATTCGTCCTTTATCATTCTATCTCATCTATTAATTTCTTTTTACTGAACATTATTTGATTTCATTTATGTTGTGTAATTATTTATATTTTGTGTTTTATTTTAATTATTATCTCGTTTGTCTTTGTGTCAAATAAAATAGGTTCGATGTATCCTAGTAGATGATTATTAGTATAACTAAAACAAAACAACGACTGATTGCGTAAAAAGAGTCGGCTTAGTTGTGAACGAAGAAGGATATAGATATAGGAGTAGATGCGTGTCTATGAGAAACCAGTCCGATAGCTACACTCATAATCATCCTCTCTTACCTTCGTCATTTAATTTGAAATGATATCGTACGTACATTTGAAAGTGTAAAGCTAGTAATTCCAAGCCATGAAATTGTGCAGAGACTGGCTTATATAAGAGATGTTAATGATTGTTTTTTTATCCGATCCTGTAGAAATTTAACTAGGCCTATTTTACGTGATGAACGAGGTTTCTGTCAAATTGTAGATTACTGCAAGGATTGACTGTTCGTTAAACAGTAATGGGTTACTTACATATAGCCCATAGCTTAATATAAATTTGGATGTGGGTGAGTTTGGATCTGGGTCTGATTATTACCAGCACTCATGTCATCCACACCCACACCCACACCCTCAGACTCGATTGATTTTGTAAGATTTTTACAAGCTTTATAATAATGAAAATAATAATTATGTTGTTGTATTGATAATCTAGAACTAAATTCAAGTTCATTTTCATCGATAATCAAAGATATTATTAATGTATGATAACCGTCTGATATTTTATCTTCTATCAAAATAATCAAAGCTGCGTCATTTATCAAGACAAAAATATTCTTATGAAGATTTTCATTTATTTGCTTTTCATTATGTTATGTATTCTTGTGACAAAACATGTTAACTATTTAATTTCATTGATATGGGATGTGCAGTTTACGAACAATGAACATTAGTTTGTCAATAGCTGATTTTCGAATTGGTTTCTATGTATACAATGCTCTGCTTCAATCAACTGTAACATGTCTTTCTATCACAACTAAGATATCGTCATTTTACTATTGAATGAAATCTTTTTCATTTTTCAGTGAGACTGTTTTCAACTCTCATTCATCATCTTTTCATCGATCGATACAGAATTAAGATATCTAATTGAATGACATGTTGGTCTAAAGAAAGAGTAAATTCATAATATAATTGCTAGAGAGACCAATATAAAAAGACATTAAACCTCTGACGAATCATCAACAAATTGTTAGAACGCTAAAAATAATTAGTATATAATTTGAGTAAAAAAAGCTGGAATCCGAATTCTCTGAGCTATTTGGCAACTCTGAATATGTGTGAAAATATACATCTATAGAAATACGAATAGATTATCTTACTCCAAAGCAAATCTATTCTTGATCTGACTAAATTTCTGTTAGAATGAAATAAAATTTGTCGTATGATTAATTTACATTCGAAATACTTTTCACTGAGTTTTCTAGCAAATATATTCATCAAGTGAAAATCATGCGACTCTCTTCACTTTATTACGATATCAGCGTTCAATCCAACTGTCACCAGAAGAAATTCTACACCAACTAACATGTGCTTACTTAATATTAAGTCGATATTTCCATCTCAACACAGGATCCCACTTCAAACCTACAGATTTTATTCTAATATATCATATATTCAACCGGCCTTTTCTTCTCTATTTGTTTCTTTCTAGCGAAACTTTCTAATCGCTGTTAATTAATGCAGTAAATAAATAGGATATCATTCTAAACAACATGATACAATCGTATATAATTCTGTAGTTCACTATAATCTCCAATCAACCATCACAATAAAAAATACACTACCTGAAAAAGCGGTACATGTTAATAAAACATCCATCCCACTTATACCGTTACAATACAAATTAGACATAAAATAAAGCCGTTCTATTTATATTTTATTATGATGACACCCGAGAAAGAAACTTATCTACGTCGATACCAATGCTTCATATTTTGCCAATTCTGTATTCCGTTCAATCAATTCCTTGATTTGCTTCTCGAGTTCGTCTCTGATCCCATTGTCGTCTAGATATAATATGGCAAGCGTCTGTATCAAAAAAAGTAGATGGATATATGAAATAGATTACGAAGAGAATGATAGTTACTTTATTAGATCGTAACACATCCATCAAATACTGCGCACCAATATCTCCGATTTTATTGTGTTCGAGATCTAATGTGGTAAGTGTCTGTATAAAAAAATGTAGATGGATATATCAAATAGCTGAGGAAGTGGGCGGTAGTTACTGTATTATTTCGTAATGCATCCGCCAAATGCTGTGCACCAACGGCACCGATATGAGTATGGCCGAGATCTAATGTGATAAGCGTCTGTGTAAAAAAGTGTAGATGAATATACGAGATAGATGATTAACAGAATCATGGTTACCGTATTATTTTGTAACGCATCCGCCAGATGCAGTGCTCCAATATCTCCGGTTTCATTCCAGTAGAGTTTTAGTGTGGTAAGTGTCTGAATAAAAAATGCAGATGCATATATGACATAGATCAGTAACAGAACGATAGTTACCGTATTATTTTCCAGTGCATTCGCCAGATGCTGTGCACCAACCGCTCTGATATCATTGGCGTGGAGATTTAATGTAGTCAGTGTCTGCGTGAAAAAATGCAGATGGATAGATGAGGAAGAGAATGGTAGTTACCTTATTATTCTGTAATGCATCCGCTAGATGCTGTGCTCCAATATCTCCGATACTATTTGAAAAGAGATTTAATATGGTAAGTGTCTGTATAAAAAAGTGTAGATGAATATATGAAATAGATCACGAAGAGAATGATAGTCACTGTATTATTTTGTAATGCATCTGCTAGATGTTGTGCACCAACAGCTCCGATTTCACTGTAGTGCAGTTTTGATGTGGCAAGTGCCTATATAAAAAATGCAAATGGATATATGAGACAGATGGGTAATAGAATGATGATTACTGTATTAGTTCGTAACGCATCCGCCAGATGCTGTGCTCCAACAGCACCGATTTTATTCCTGGAGAGATTCAGTTCAGTGAGTGCCTTTATGAAAAAGTGTAGATGGATATATGAGTAACAAAATGATAGTTACCGTATTATTTTTAAATGCTTCCGCCAGACGCTGTGCTCCTATAGCTACGATTTGATTCTCGGAGAGATTCAATTCGATAAGTGTCTTTATGAAAAAGTATAGATAGATATATGAGATAAATGAGTATTGGGATGATAGTTACCGTATTATTTTGTAATGCATCCGCCAGGTGCTGTGCTCCAACAACTCCGATTTTATTGCCTGAGAGATTCAATTCGGTGAGTGTCTTTATGAAATATTACATACGAGTATATGAAATAGATCACAAAAAAAATGCTAGTTACTGTATTAGTTTGGAGTGCACCGGCCAGATGCTGTGCACCAACATCTCCGATTTGACTGTAGTCGAGATATAGTGTAGTAAGCGTCTACATAAAAAAAACTGTAGATAAATACATGAAATAGATTACGAGGAGACTGATAGTTACCGTATTAGTTCGTAATGCATCCGCCAGATGCTGTGCACCAACAGATCCGATATGGTTGTGGCCGAGTTTTAATATGGTAAGCGTCTGGATAAAAATTGTCGATTGATACGGGATATAGAGGAGGACATAATGGTAGTTACCGTATTATTTTGTAAAGCATCCGCCAAATGCTGTGCACCAACATCTTCCATTTGACTGTGGTAGAGATTCAATTCGGTAAGCGTCTGCATAAAAAAAATTGCAGATGGATATTTGAGATATATGAGGAAGAGAATGATAGTTACCTTACTAGTTCGTAACGCATCCGCTAGATATTGTGCTCCAATATCTCCGATTTGATTAAAGTCGAGATTTAATGTGATAAGTGTCTGTATGGAAAAGTGCAAATGGATATATGGGATAGATGCGTGAAAGAATGACGTTACAGTATTATTTTGTAACGCATCCGCCAGATGCTGTGCATCAATAGCTCCAATTTGATTGTGACTGAGATCTAATATAGTGAGCATCTGTATAAAAAAAAGTGCAGATGAATATATGAAATAGATCACGAAGAGAATGATGGTTACTTTATTAGTTCGTAACGCATCCGCAAGATGTTGTGCACCAAGAGCTCCGATTTGATTGTCGTCGAGTACTAACGTGGTAAGCGTCTTTAACAAATAATATAAATGGGTATGTCGAATAGATAAAGATGGATAGGGAGTTATCCTATAATTTTATGAGACTTTAGTGAATCCTGCGAAGAAGGGTAAAGAGGAGAAACTGCGGTTTGTTCTTTTTTTCGCAAAACTCCACTTCCGAGAGTCGAAACAGTGAGGGATAAATTAGGAAGAGAGGAAGTCATTCATTTCATCATTGATGTAGTTTATGATAAAGTATTGCTGGTTATATTCACGAATTTTTCCTTGGTATTAGAGTCCTGCAAACCGGACGGGTACCCGACACCCGGCCCGACCCGGACCTGGGTAACGGGTAAAATTCGCCGGGTCGGTTCGGGCATCGGGCGTTAAAAAAAAATTCGGTTCGGTTCCCGGGTAGGAGTGTATACCCGACCCGAACCGACAACCAATGACATCACCAAATTTATAACATTTTATTCTGATACTATTACTAATATGAAAAATGAAGTCACAATAAATCTAATAATGATTAAACGACCCATTAGTCATTGAAATATTTCATAAAGAAAAGTTTAGTTTCTTTGAATAGCTTTTGTTATGTTTCGAATAAAAAGCTTTTATTGTTTTGTTAATTAACATCTTTCAATACGAAAGGTGGATGTGGATGAGAGCTTGTGTGTGTGTGTGTGGATGTGAGATAAGAGCAAGATCCACATCTTCAGCTAACTCCTGATGCACTTGTTTTTTTACGTAATTTTACATAATATATATTTTCATTTCTTACTTATGAATAGGGGTAGGACAGTTCCATATTAGTTACGTTCTTAGGAAATGTATAATAGTTCTTTTGACCAGTTTATCTGAACTTGGAACTATAAACTGTCCTACCCCTACTTAAGAACGAAACTAGACGTATTATATTTATTGAATGAAATAAAGGTTTAGAAATTTGATCATATTTTGAAAAATAACTCAGTAGACCGGTTCGGGTCGGTTCGGGTCCGGTCTAGCTCATTCGGTCCGGTTCGGTTCCGGGTGTTTAACTAGCCGGGTCGGTTCGGGCCCGGGCGTATAAAAAATTGCCGGTTCGGTTTCGGGTACAAAAAAGTCCACCCGTGCAGGACTCTACTTGGTATTCAATAATATTCAATGGACCAAGACAGATGAGAGACGCTACTAGCTTGTTATACGTCAACGAAGTGTTGTGGATATTCAGATCTTATAAAGTACCATTAGATCAGTTATAAGTTTTATGAACGCGAGCCTAGCATCTTCTGGCTCTCATTCACTCTTTAATCTTAAGAGTATCTCCCGAGTTTCTTCATTTTTTTGTCGTCTAAGCTGGTATAAGTCTAGATTATTACTATCTCTTGAATTCTTTGAATGTCCTTAGTTTTCTTTGGATAGCAATTTTTTGGATCACAGTACTGCTGATCATATGTGAGTGATATCTAAGGGTTATGACATTTATGTATTTTGGGATCTGCTATTGATTAAATCGAAGAAGAGCCTATATGAAGTAATGCGTGTTCATATGAAAAGAAAACGTAGTAGTCTTGTAGTTTAATATTATAGATCTCTTGCGACTGCAAGATCCATCAGAGTATGAATGATTGACTTATTTTACCTAAAATTCTTGTAAAAACTTCAGTCTCTGTCAAAAAGTCTAGATGCACATGCAACAGTAATTTCTTCTTTCCTTTTCTCTTTCAAATATTACACGTGTGTAAATAAAAATAATATGAGAACAGTGAATTTTTCAGAAAAGAACAAAAAAAGCGTTGTTTTTATGTATGTCTCATCGTTATTGTACGCAGTGATATCTTCTCAAACCTATGGATTGTAAGAATAAGAAATGATTTAAAGATAGATAATCATGATTAGAAATAAAGTTTACCTGATATCGATGATAGCCTTCAAGGATTGTATCAAATCGTTGACAGACATTTCGCATTGAACATACCATTGTAAAATCATCCTGATGATCCAAAATTCGGTAGACAAGTTCTACCGGTAGTGTAAGAAAAGTGTAAGACATTTTATTCAACGTTGATTAAAATTGTTGCTTTGCTTTTCTCGTTTCACTTGATTTTATATCTGCGATGTGTCATAGATTTCTCATAGTGATGAAATTACTTGTTTGAAGAAAAAGAAGGCAGAAAAGTGATGCCAATAGCAACATTGTAGTAACCAATCGAATTAATGTATTCGTTCGTTAAGTTTTATTAGGAAGCTGATACACAATACACATGGATGTGGGTGAAGAAAGGATGAACCAAAACTTACACCCACATCCTTAGAATGCATTAATGCGTATGATTTATTTTATTAATAAAATATGAAACCTTCAAAGTGCAAACAAAGAAAAGAACAATATTGAATTTCTATTGTAGATGGTAATAAATAATATACGACTCTATATAGATTGTCAACATTCTTTTTTCATACTGAAGAGAAATTTCAATCATCTGTTTTGTTAAACAATTCATATAAAACTTCAACTCAGTCGAAATAATGTTGAATCAAAAATTGTTATCGACTGAAGATTTATCTAAACGCAGCTTGCACTCTCATGCACATGTATCTGTATCAAGAGTAGCCAATCCTGCTGGCCTCAGTCATCACCAGCCGGTCCCACATAAACAGAAATCATCAACAAATGGCAAATCTCGAATAATAATTCATAGAGCTATTCGATCATCCGATAGCAAGAGTCGTTCAATACAAAACAAAGCCATCAATTCTAATGTCGATGCATATTCAGTAAGATATTTTGTTTTTATATTCTTAATCGATATGTATTATTATATTTAAATAGATACCCACTATTCTACCAGCTCGTGATCGTCAAAATACAGTAAATCATTCTGATGTTAGTATAGGTTCAACTGAACACGTACAGCATGTCTCACCATCGGTTAGTATTAATAAAGTCTCATATATATATATATATATCAATTACTGTTATATATAGTTATCGTATAATGGTTGGTATGACAATAACGGAAGCAATAGTTCAATGGAGCTAGATGACTTTGCAGAACAAAACAGATGTTCTTCGATTAATAAACATAGCTGTAGTCCTGAAAGAATATTAGAAAAAGAAATATTCCCGTTGACTACGAAAGAAGTAAGTTATTGTCTATATTTTTTTGTTAACTAAACTAGTTTGATCATTATATTGATTTACTTTCAGAATTCTATCGATAATAATGACAATAATAATATAAATTTAATGCGAAATACTAATAAAAATATGGTAAGATATATTCTTCTATATATTCTCGAGTTTACTTAAAGAAATTAAATAATAAGAACACCCACGATCGCTTCTCAAACACAAACAGCTTTCATAAATATTCAAGAAATAATGAAAAAAAGAAGAAAAAGTAAATTCTGATTTGTTTAATATAGTCTTTGTAACTTTGTACGATGTAGATGTGCGTGGGCTTTATGTTGTCCATGTTTACCTCTATCTTTACTTACTGCTATTCTATTAAGTACAGTTATTGCTGCAGTACTTGCAGGTATTTTCATTAAATCAAAGACAACAACATCGGCATCTATAACTGGTAAAAGAAGAAAGAAAGAATTTCAAATTTGTTTCTTATGTTCTTATGTTGATTAAGATGTCACGACGACAGCGATCAGTACTACTCTCACGACAGCCACTGAAACAAGTAAATATTCGTGTTAATATTTCTATTTTATCACATTTTTCTTTTGATAAAGCTACAACATCTGCTACATGTATTACACCAACCAGCACTGCTCTTTCTTATAATACTACTACCAGCGTTTACACGTTGGCAACATACAATTATACAGCTTCATACACAGGTTTTGTTGTGCTTGAATTTGGCTTTAAAGGACAAACTGGAAGTGAATATTGGTATCTAGACGATGTTAGTCTTGTGGACACTAATACATTCAATTCAGAAATGTTAGTTAATGGTAATTTTGAGAACGGTACTACAAACGGATGGCAACTGTTATGTACTTCAAATTGTCAATCAGCAGCAGGAGTCATCGCATATAATACATCATGTTATACAGGCTTATTTTGCTATACAGATGGCTGTAAAAATGGATTTGATTTTTTACAACAAGCATTTAATACGACAATTGGACATGTGTATACACTCAGTTTTTGGATAAGAACCGATACAAAACCCCAACAATATGCATTTGTTAGGTTCTTTTAAATGAAAATGAAGTTGTGTGATATCTTAAATAAACCAGCAGCATACTCGGACATATATGATGTGTTGAATTTATATTCAAGTGCCGTTAACAATATTTAATCAAAAACTTTTATGCTTTATACCTTTTGAGATTTTGGACTAATAAATATACCACAACAGCGAATGAATAAGTTTATAAAAATATTACCAGTCACATGTCAAATAGCTATAGTCAGAATCAAACGAGACAAGCAAAACGTTCAGATACTAGGAGTGCCCAGCTTGCACTTTTTCCCGTTGGGATTATTAGTCTTCACTGCTGGCATTAGGTAGAGCATTTTAAGAACTTATCTCACAATTACAATCTGTATAATAGTTTTACAGAGCGGAAAAACTTGCTTAGAAATAAACAATTTGTTTATTTTGTTTAGATATTTTAACTATATGGATGTGAAGATATAGCAATCAGTGAAACATTCATATTACACTCGAATCGATCCCCTAAAAAAGGCCATTTATAATTAATATTAATATAGATATAAACTACTAATTTCGGTTTAGTTCTGTATCATATTTCTGATGATTCCATGCCATTCAAATATTGTGGAATTAATATTTAGGCTGATGTACCTCTCTTTTACTTCCAAAAATAATCATATGGCAGCTGTGTTTTACGTCTTCTTCCTTTGCTTGTATGACGAAGATTGATATAACTCTTTTTTTCAAAATTGAGGATGTGGTTCGCGGTTTGTAAATTCCATTTGTTGCTCACTCGCACGACACCCACATCCATTCCCACACGCACATCCGTATCCACTCCTCGAAAAATATTTCTAGATGACGTGTCACGCAACAAGTAATCATTGACGCATCGTGGCTTTTTTGGAAATCAGAAAATTCTTTATTTGAGGGTGTGAATGAACACAAAATATAAGAACAAAGACACATCCACACTCTCAGCACTTCCGCACTACACGCTTTTACCAGGATTCAATCAATTCTTCAGGAACAAACGAAACTTCCGAACAGAATCTTATAGAAGTCTGTCGCAGATCTTGGACAGAATCGATTCAGAATCTACTAGAGAAAGTGTAGCTGATGTTGATTTATTTGCATTGCGAACAGGACATACATAATTTAAATACTAACAATGTTAAAAATAAAAAAACTACCAAGCGATATTAACAAGATGTATGCAGTTATTTCGATTCACCACACTGATTGGTAGAAGGTAAAAGCCGTTTTATCGCATCGTAATTCTGCCTGAATTTAGTCATACAGATTGTACACGCACGATTCTGAGCAAGTTCAATTGCTTTTGAGCAATGGTTGAGAGCATCAGCATACTGCCCTTCGTTGTACAGCAGCAAACCTATACTATCTTCAACGATAGCGCGATCAACAGGATCGCTTTCTTTAATGTCTGCAGCCTCGGTAAAGTATTTTAAAGCTTCAGTATAGTGGTCCGTCTTTTGATACATACGACCCATATTGTAAAGAATAGGGAGTGGTGATGAAATAATACCATGAGCGTATAATGGTTGAGATGAGACTGGTACAGTATTTGTTTCCACTACGGGAAACAGCTTCAAAGCTTCATGAAGATTGTTGAGTGCCTCGAAGTGTTCACCTTGTGCAATATTTATCTTTGCAATTTTATAATAAAGAGAACGTCGGATCTCATCAGGTATCAGTGGCTCGTTTAGCATTCGGTAATAAAAATTTTTTGCTTTCGTATGCTGACCAAGCTCGCGGAGAACGTCACCAAGCGCAATAAATGTGTTGTCATCAGGAAGTTGCTTAAAAAGTTGACCTAACTTCGAATCTAATTCACTACAGTGCTTCAACTCAACGGTCCACAGTGAATCATCGCCTTCTTTAACAGAGTCAATGGTCCACACGGATCCCATAGTAAACAGCACTTCCTCTTCTCCTTCTCCAAAGTGACTAATCGATGTTATATCGGCGAAAGGTCTGGCATCCATAGCTTCATCAATAGACAATTCAAAGAGAACGCTCTTGCAGCTTTCATGACCCACACGGTTTTCACCGGCACCAGCATATACTTCCATCGCTTTATCTCGATTGTATGTCGTTGAGAGAAAGCCATTGACAGACATCAAGGCTCCAATATTATCGTTTAACTGTTGTAAAACAATGGGACGAACCTTCTTACCTCGGTATAGTTTTTTTTCTCGCGGCTTATACTTTTTAGCCACGTTAACAAGTTGACTATGTAGATCGATAATGCTGCGACGAAATTTGAAGATACGCTCTATATCTTCCGATCGAAATGCTTGGCCCATCATACGAAATAAGAATGAGTCCTGAGTGTAGTATAAGATGGCATTCTTGGCATTATAATCGCTGTGCAAACGCTCAATTTTCTTTAATTCTACTTGATCTCCGAAGTAGCAGCTGCGACATTCTCTTATCATGTCGTCTAGAGATATTTTGTGATCACAATTCATCTTTGTCAAAAGTCCGGTCAACGCCTGAGATCGGTAAAATTCGAGCGATTCTTTGGTCCAATATTGAAATGAGTTTTGTTTTGTATTCGAGTTGAGTATATTTAATGATAATGGAAGAAGTAATCTGTGACAATTGTCATCTGGAATTATTTTAGTAGAAGAAATCTCTGGTACTGTTAAATAAGGTTTTAAATCTACATGTATTTGTTGGAATAATTTATCATCGTCGTGAAATGTCGAGAAAGAAGAAGTGGTTGAGTTCGAAATCACTTGAAATTTATAAACGTGTCGACACTGCGGACGGTTATTAGAAATACCACATAGACTTTCGGCGTGTTTACCGCTAATAATAAAAAATATATTTTCCACAACTAGCGGACGGGCAAGATATTTAATAAACTCAAGTCTATTGTTGAAAATGCGAACATAATTAAATGTCATGTAGAGTCGATCCTTTATTTTACACATTAAATCTTTATCCTCACTGATATTTTCATCATGATACCAAATGCCAAGAAGATTTTGTTTTGATGATGATAACAATGCCTGGTCGTTCAATCTACTACTCAGATAAGAAACGACTGATTACAATTGCAAATTAAAATAAAAATAGTGAAACTTACTTTTCTTGAATGACGTGGTCGTGTGAAGACTGTTGACCAATCAATTGAGACGCCAGTATTGTTACTTGACTATCGTCTCCCAGCATATCTGTTAACTATCTAGAAATTCAGATAGAGAATACAAGCGACAAAACATTTCTTTTATGCGGTTCTTTACAATAATGCTAAGCAAAGAAAATTTATTAAATAAGAGAAAGAGTTTCTTGAATCTTCTGTTCATATTGAACACGCGAGACTGGATCAATTGTTTGTTCGAGTGCCTTTCGGTAAAATTCAAGAGCTTGTTCTGGTTTTGATTGACGACGATATGTTTCCGCTATTTGTTCATACACGTCGGAACAACTAACAGTCAATTCGACTACGGCTGGCGGAGGAAGGGCTTTGAAACGAGTGAGATGTAAACATTGGTCTGCATTTGGAGAGGTGTTTTTGATTGAACCCAGAGCAAGATTGTAATATTTCAATGCTTCTTGTTTCTCGCCCAACTCTGTGAACAACAATCCCATATTGTTATAAATCGATGCAAGTGCTTCATGGTCTTTAGGAAGTATTTGTAATAAATGTTCATAATAGGATTTGGCTTCTTTGACATTATTGAGAGCACATAGGTAGTTGCCAAGAGTCAGCCATGTTAGTCGTTCGCCAACTTGGATTTGTAGTTGCTCTTGGACAGATTGAAAGATTGAGTCAGCACACCTCAATTGAGCATACCACACACCGTCGGGCGCCAAATGAATAGACTGAAGACGAAATATATTACCAAATCGAAATATGAATCTGCACTCATCCACTTTTGCGATACGTGTCTTCACTGGAACATCGATCTCAAAGATGACAGCCAAGAGTCCGCGGTTTGCAGCTTGACGCCCTATCTCTCGAGCAGTTTCAAGATTCTCTGTAGCTAAAAGAAATGTATGAAAAGCAATCAATTCACCTGTATTTGCTTTGATGTGTTCCAGATCATGAGCTCGAATAAGCTGAGCTCGATAAACGACCAAAGACGACATAGATGAAGGTAGCTGACTTAAACGTTGATTAACGGCAACAATGACTTGTTGAATATCAAGAAGATTAGTGAGAATTTGTTGTTGTAATAAACTGTTCAGGATAGCAGACAAAAACGATCCGTTCACAAGCCAGTCCACAAATTGATCGGTATGGGTTGTTACTTCATTGAGAGCACTGTCGCAATCCGATGTATTGTCAGCATAAGCGAGACAATGATTGTATAGTTTTTGCTGACAGTAACTGGCAAGAGGCAATTCTTGCAGGATATTCACGAATAGCTGAAAAGCGATAAATTTGTTTTGATCATGTGACCATTTATCTAAAGTATGATTTGGTGCAGCAAACACGAACGGAACAGGCATGTACAGGGATTGTTTCACAAAAAATTTGATATCCGTTGCCAAACGAGTGAGTATGGCTTTGATATCAAAGAATAATTCATTCACATTTTCATAGGTGAGTATCGTTTTATTCAATTCGTTCTGTTCGGTCGGTTGCAAAAAAACATAGACGGTATACATCTGATTCAGCATCTTAATTCTTTGGAGATCACGCATGACACTTTTTACTGTGCCAGAGACAATAAAAAATATGGATTTAACATTAGTAGCTGCAAGATATTGTTCACACTCGGCGCTATCCGAAAATTCATCCAGACGGAATCGATCGCTAGTTGCACGAAACAAAATGTGCCTGCCACAATGCAACACAACAATACGAATTTGGTCATTTGATATTAAATTGTGTACAATATTGAATATATTTAACGGAATAGACAACCATTTCGACGAATCGACTAACATTTGAGTGTGGCAACTTGTTCGTAATTTGCTTTCAGACCAAGCAGGAGACTGTAACAGCAGCGACTGGATATCTTTAGACACAGCAACGTTAATTTCATTGAAATTTTCGTGGCAATATTGAATTTTCGGAATTTGACTAATCCAGTCAGCTCCGTTCTCCTCGTTGTTTGAGCAGTACACATATATCTGTTCGATACATCGATGCTCATAAATAAGTGGAACGATATATTGGCTAGTTGAAGCCAAAGCAATGAAATAAACGCGTTCGTCTGTAATTGATAAAAGACGAGCGATACAGGCACATTCGTCTTTATGGAAAAATTCAACTTGACCATAGGAACCTAACGATATAAATGAAGGATCAATATCATAACATACGATAAGAATATTGGATTTGTTGCTTGAAACAGATCTTACAATTATATCTGTATTATCGGCTTGTAAAAGGGCAGTTAACTGTTCGCGCGTAATGACCAGTTGACTTCGTTTCGAAATAGATAACTCGTAAATCTTGGTTGGTTGCAGTGAGAGACCAATGTCTTCACTATAGTAAGCCTGAGTCGACTGAGTGTTCGCTTTTTCTGTTGAAGAAGAAGGCTAAAATATATAGACCAACAATAATTAATAATAACGGGGAAATCGTGATACTTTGGCCTCGTCAGCAATAACGAGCTCATAATAATAATCTTTTCAGCATCAGAGAACAGCAACAATAAACTACAAAACTGAATGTTCTATTACACACTTCGATAAGTTTTTTTCGGAAACTTGAGGGTATTATAGAAACCAATGCGATCTTAATATTCAATCCCGATACTGCATTATTAAGAAAAGCAATCTAACTTGCTTTAAATGGATCATTGGCACTTAATTTAGTTATGTGCGGTATCATTTTATTCGCCTGATTACGAGATTGTAAACGGTTCTTTTTTCAAATAGATAATTTTCTGTATGTTTGTATTATTAGAGCGCTTAAGCACCTAACAACAAATATAGCTACTGAGCATTCTATTATCGCTAATCTTTAGTTATCCTAAAACTTCATCTAGAGACATGAATCAGTTTTCCGACTGCTATAACCACTGCTTCAATCTGGAGGAGTTCCATCCTAATCAAACTTTTTCTCATGTTCATTGGATGCGTCCACTTCTCATCATATGCTAATCACTTGAGTTTGTTATAAAAAAGAGTGAAGAAGTTCATGCGCATAAGAAAAGCATCTAGACTTCAGAACTTATATGAGCTACCGAAACGTTTTCAATGTTACATTCATGAATCGTGCAGTCATTATTTACTTACACTTTCTTCAAGAATAGAATGTTTGTTGTCATGATCATGTGAGCCGACAGGATCTGAAGTACTTGAGTTTTGATTCACTGATGGGTTGCCGTCTTGTTCCGTTGTTTTGCTGTCTCTAGAAGTAAAGAAGTGAAGGAGAAAGTTATATGTTCAAAATTTAGAACTATATAACTTTATTATACAGTGCAATTTATAGTGGGTGCGAGTTGATCAGCAAGGAGACTGTAATCTTTCATATATTCTACAAAATAAGGTGACTAGAATTTAGCCATTTCATTATGCCATAACCCGTATATGGTTCGTCTTATGTAGAAAATATCAAAACACCTCTATCATTAGACAAAATATCCGCTCATTTGGGTGAAGCACGCCGTGTCTATTCAGTTCTTTTATCCTATCAATGTCAACAACACATAGCATTCTTTCAATCTTACTCGGCCATCTTGGACTGCAACAAGCTGATGTTCTTGTAGGATTGAGCCAAATGGGGATGATTTGGTGGAAGAGTACTTTGGTAAATTTCAAGTGCCTTTTGATAGAACGAAAGTGCTTTTGAATACTTGTTCATTTTGTAATATACCCCACCAACATTATTCAAAAACGTAGCCAACTGAGTATGATTTGATGGGATAGCTTTTTCCATAAATTCAGTGGCTTTTTCATAAAATGAAAGTGCTTCAGAGTACCGGCTCAGGTTATCATATAACGCACCCATGTTATTGTAGGCAGTAGCCAAATCATGATGGTCAAGACGAAGAGTTTTTTCGTCAATTTTTAGGGCTTGTTCGTAGAATGAAAGTGCTTCCAAGTAATTACCCATGTTATAATAAACACCACCAATATTTTTGAAAGCAGTAGCCAAATTATGATGATCCGAAGGGAGCGTTTTTTGAAGAATTTCGAGAGCTTTTTTATAGAATAAAAGCGCATTCGAGTAGTCTCTCATTATGCAATACATCAAAGCTGTATTATTATAAGAAATAGTCAAATCAGGATGATTCCGAGGAAGACTACTTTCGTTGACTTCAAGCGCTTTCTGGTAGAATGAAAGTGCTTTTGAATAGTCTTCCATGTTATTATACACTCTACCGATTTTATCGTAGGAAAAAGCCAAATCAGGATGGTTCGGAGGGAGAGCTTTTTGGTCGATTTCCAGTGCTCTTTCATAGAAGGAAAGCGCCTTCAAGTGATCACCCATGTGATCATACAGCAAACCGATGCTCTTGTAGGACTGAGAGCGATTTGGATGATATGTCGGGAGAGTTTTCTCATAAATTTCAAGCGCTTTTTCGTAAACTAAGAGAGCCGCCAAGTATTTGTTCATCTTGCCATATACTATGCCGATATTGTTGTAGGAAGTAGCGAGATCATGATGATTTGACGGTAGAGTTTTTCGATAAATTTCGAGAGCTTTTTCATAGAATGAAAGTGCTTTCGAGTACTCACCCATGTTATTATAAATTCCGCCGATATTGTTGTATGAACTAGCGAGATCAGGATGGTTTGACGGTAGAGTTTCTTGATAGATTTCGAGAGCTTTTTCGTAGAATGAAAGTGCTTCGGAGTACTTGCCCCTGTTGTCATAGATTCCGCCGATATTGTTATAGGTAGTAGCCAACGAAGGATGATTTGAAGGAAGAGTGCTTTGATAGATTTCGAGTGCTTTTTCATAGAATCCAAGTGCTTTGGAGTGCTCGCCCATGTTGTCATAGATTCCACCGATATTGTTGTAAGAAGTCGCGAAATCAGGATGATTTGACGGTAGAGTTTGTTGATAGATTTCCAGAGCTTTTTCGTAGAATGAAAGTGCTTTCGAGTACTCGCCCATGTTATCATAAATTCCGCCGATATTAATGTAAGAAGTAGCCAACGAGGGATGGTTCGGAGGAAGAGTTTTCTGATAGATTTTCAGAGCTTTTTTGTAAAAAGAAAGTGGTTTCGAATACTCAACTATTTTGTTATAAATAGTACCTATATTGTTGTACGAAGCAGCCAAACTAGGATGGTTCGGAGGGAGAGCTTTTTCATTGATTTCGAGAGCTTTTTCGTAGAATGAAAATGCGTTGGAGTACTCGCCCATCCTCCTATAAATCCAACCGATATTATTGTAGGAAGTAGCCAACCGAGGATGGTTCGGAGGGAGAGTTTCTTGGTAGATTCTTAAAGCTTTTTCGTAGAAGGAAAGTGCTTTGGAGTGCTCGCCCATGTTGTTATAAATAGTACCAATATTGTTGTAAGAAGTCGCGAAATCAGGATGATTTGACGGTAGAGTTTGTTGATAGATTTCCAGAGCTTTTTCGTAGAATGAAAGTGCTTTCGAGTACTCGCCCATGTTATCATAAATTCCGCCGATATTAATGTAAGAAGTAGCCAACGAGGGATGGTTCGGAGGAAGAGTTTTCTGATAGATTTTCAGAGCTTTTTTGTAAAAAGAAAGTGGTTTCGAATACTCAACTATTTTGTTATAAATAGTACCTATATTGTTGTACGAAGCAGCCAAACTAGGATGGTTCGGAGGGAGAGCTTTTTCATTGATTTCGAGAGCTTTTTCGTAGAATGAAAATGCGTTGGAGTACTCGCCCATCCTCCTATAAATCCAACCGATATTATTGTAGGAAGTAGCCAACCGAGGATGGTTCGGAGGGAGAGTTTCTTGGTAGATTCTTAAAGCTTTTTCGTAGAAGGAAAGTGCTTTGGAGTGCTCGCCCATGTTGTTATAAATAGTACCAATATTGTTGTAAGAAGTCGCGAAATCAGGATGATTTGACGGTAGAGTTTGTTGATAGATTTCGAGAGCGTTTTCGTAGAAAGAAAGTGCTTTCGGGTACTCGCCCATATTATCATAAATTCCGCCGATATTGTTGTATGAACTAGCGAGATCAGGATGATTTGACGGTAGAGTTTTCTGATAAATTTCGAGAGCTTTTTCATAGAAAGAAAGTGCTTTCGAGTACTCGCCCATGTTGTCATAGATTCGGCCGATATTGCTGTAGGAAGTAGCCAACGAAGGATGATTCTGAGGAAGAGTTTTTTGACTGATTTCAAGAGCTTTTTCGTAGAATGAAAGTGCTTTCGAGCACTCGCCCATGGTATTATAAATTCCACCGATATTGTTGTAGGAAATAGCAAAATCACGATGATTGGACGGTAGAGTTTTCTGATAAATTTCAAGAGCTTTTGCATAGAATGAAAGTGCTTTCGAGTACTCGCCCATGTTATCATAAATTCCGCCGATATTGTTATATGAAGTAGCCAACACAGGATGGTTCGATGGAAGAGTGTTTTGGTGGATTTCAAGTGCTTTTTCATAGAACGAAAATGCTTTGGAATACTCGCCCATGTTGTCATAGATTCTACCGATATTGTTATATGAAGTAGCCAACACGGGATAGTTCGAAGGAAGAGTGTTTTGGTGGATTTCAAGTGCTTTTTCACAAAATGAAAGCGCCTTTGTATAATCAGGCATCTTGTCATATACAGCACCAATGTTGTTGAATGCAGTAGCCAAATCAGGATGATTTTGCTCGATTGATTTTTCATAAAACGAGATTGCCTCTACATAGTGTCCTTGCTCTTCCTTGATTCGGCCAATTTGATGATAGAGTGTCACTTTATCAGTATTATCAGATATACCATCGAGCAATGCAGCGTAGATTTGCTCTGCCTTGTTATAGTGGCCCAGTTTTATTAGCAAGTCACCTAATCGATGCCACCCTGTTGATCCTTTAGTTTCCTCCCGAATGCTTTCAGTGAGAGCTCTAAGCTGCTCGTCGTCGTCACTCGTCAGGGTAAGCTCCACCTTCCAGAACTCTGTACCAGCGTTCATTTTTTCAATAGCATTGATGCGAAAAACGGTGTGCATCGAGAAGAGAATCTCCTTTTCTGTGTCATAATAGTAACTGATATCATCGAGACGTGCAAAAGGAGCTGATGAAATCGATGGATCAATATTAATTTCAAAGAGAATTCCTATCAAATCTGGATTGGATGTACTAGCCTCAGCAAACATAAAAGCGACATTTCGATCCATGCTAGTCGTCAAAAAATTGTTGAATGAAATGAGTCCACCCTTTTTTGTGATTAGTTTTTCAGCGTCCATCTTTGGCAAGCCTTGGCCTCGGTAAACAAAAAATGATCGTCCATTGTAGGCATGCAATTGTTCCGAGTGAAGTTGTTTAATGTGTGAATGAAGATCTCGAATGAAAAAGCCCATTTTTATGATGATATCTATGTCCAGATTACGCAGAGCCCGGTTGAGCATTTCATAGAGAAACGACTCGTGAGTATACCACCAAACCGGTGAATGATCGTGATATTCTTGTTCGAACTGATCAATCATTTTCAACACACGATCATTGTGAGTATACACGTTACGACAATAGGTGGTCAAGTCTTTGATATATTCGTCATGGTATTTAACTTCAAATAATATTTCTTTCAGTATTTTTGTATACATAAATGACTGGTCGAGTCGATCCAAATTTGTATTAAGTATCTCACCCACCGAAACAAAATTGATCTCGATAGAATCATGTTCAGATTGCTGCTGTGATTGTTTAAGTGCTTCACAAATGGGCTCGATTTCTGTGAAAACACCTTTCACTTTGGACCATTCTTTAGCCCATTGCTCATGTATTAGCCTGTTTTCACAAAATACATAGACCGAAACGAGTCGCGATATATCATGGATGAGTGGTACTATGTGTTGACCAAGATAACCGGACACAATCATGAACACCTTTTCATCATTAGTTTCAGTGAGAAAATCGATGCATTGATCACGATCAGTGAATGTATTTATAGTACTGACTACGCGTCGTAGATGAGCAATGAAGTTACAACAATCGTCATCTGATTCGTCAATGTTTGAATCTAACCAGATAAGGCAAAAATTTTGAATAATACGTTTTCCTATAGTGGTAGTTAGTTCAGGTTGTGCTATTAAGGAAGTGAGTAATGATTTTGTTGTTGTATTTGTATTTTTAGTAGAATCGAATATTTGATCGGTCTTCTCTTCATCCATGGGTATGCTATCCGTGGTTGGTTTGTCGTCGATGTTAATTTGTGAGTTACTAATGCAATGTTGACTGCACGCTACGTTAAATCAAAGCGATGTATTAATGAAGGTTGCTCAGAGGAGATGCGTATACAAATCTTTTTCTTTTGCGTTCTGCCGTCCCGCTTTGTCTCTTTTTTGTCGTTCCTCTTACTTCTCTTTTATGTATTTTTCTTTAGCTGGCCTCTTTTTTTTTTTGTTCTTGCGTTCTTTTATCTCACTCTGTCACTTATATCTCGTTCCTCTTATTTCTCTTCGAATAATTTTTCTTTACCTAGCCTCACCTTCTCTTTTGCGCTTTTTTTTCTTTCTGCTTCATACCGTTTTTATTCCGGTTAGCTTTATTGCCCTGTTTTTTTCTCTTTCCTTTCTTCTTCAACGCTACTCCTTGGGAAGATATATTCCTCTTCTTTTCGAAATGGTTTTAAATATAGTGCAGAGGGGTAAATGGAAAGAAAAATCGATGCTTTGTTTTGCGCAGCTTGACACGTTTTTATTTTAGATGATACAAAACCGTTTTTGGGTGTGAGTGGGTGCTGATATCATACTCTTTTGATATCTACACCAACCCAAGTTTTGATTATCTGTCTTAATTACTTTCAGCTCCTGGTTGCCACAAATGTTCTGGATCGAGTTATACTGGCTCTTGCTATGGATGTTCGACTTCAAATGCTGATTGTACGATTAGTTGCATCTGCAATAACAGTAATGTCGGATCAACATATTCATCATTAACGATTTCATCAGGGTGTGGCAATGGTTGTATAATCATCAATAATAATGGACATCTTACCTATGATAGTTATTGCACTTAAAAGTGACTCTTTGAATTTCTATATATCAACGTTACTTTCATTTCATATAAACAATTGATATTTATAAGAGCTTAGGAGAAAGAAAAAATTTCTGCAATATAACAGAACAATACAACAAGCTTTTTCTTCATCATTTCACGCTGAATTAATCATTTTGAAGATGTCAGTGGAATTTATTAAGCACTCATCCCACACTCAAATTCACACTCTTAGTATTCCTAATCGCCTCAATATTACTTATGAGTTGTAAATATTATTCAAGTAACAACTCAGAATATTTCAATACCTTTTTGATGTGTAATATCAACTATGGTTAGAAAACTTTTGGTTATTGTATTTGAATATAATGTTAAATAATATGTAGTGTAATGACTGCAAATCAGAATAAGAATTCGTATTGCCTCATGCTCAGCTCTGATACAAATATATGAATTCCAGTTGTAATGATTTATAATCAATCGCATAATATAATTTCTAAACATTTAAGTAACTTCTCTTGCCATATATTGAACGAAGTGATGGTTAAATGAATAAAAAAGTAAATCATATTTTTCTATGACTCGTATTTTTTTTATCATCAAAGTTATTATTAACCAAAATAACAATAATAAATAGAAAGAAATATATTCTTCACAGTACATGAAAAAGATAATAAATAACAGAAATTCTAGACAAAATCATTGTATTGTTTACACTATTTTTAAGGTCACATAAGAAAAATATTTTCCATTGAATTTCTACTATGTTCACAGTTAAATAATTTTATGTGTGTTCTTCGTGACTATATTGATCGTTACTGAACTTGGTTCATAATCTGATACAATATTTTAAATCCAAATGCCGATATTGATATACTTAATACTGTAATTTAACCCATATAACTAGCTGAAACCATTTTTAGTATATTCTATAATTTGAAGATAATTTAAGATCCAGTTTGAAAGTATTCAATATGAAACTACACAAGAGGGTGTGGGTGTTAATGTAGATATTATAATCATCTTTCACTCACCCATACCCTCAACGAAAAGAAAAAGCAAAAGTTAAGTGCAGCTGACGACAGACAATGAATCATCAACGCTTTTCTGCCGTACATTAGTTTGAATTCTTGATTTAAATAAACACATCTGTTGAATTATACTGTTATTTGTATTTTAAAAATATGTTAATTTTAGGGTTATACAGTCTATAGTTGTATGTAATCAATAAAAATTGCATATGTTTAATAATATCTTGATGTTATTCAACGGTAAACAAAGAAAAAGAATCGTTGAGTCTAATGATTCCTTATCATTGTTGTGCGACTTCACATATTTCAAAAGAGAAAAGCAATAAGATAACAATACAAATAAAAGATAATATTTTTTTTTCATTTTATAATATAAAAACGTCGTGAACTAAGAAGAAACTTTAAATACACTTTGCAATGGGTGCTATATGCTCTTGTACTTCTGGTAAAAAACCATCTACTAAAGATCTAAAACAGAAAATACCGGTTGTAGAAGAATCAAAAAAGACTCAAGTATTTAATTCATCTCAAGAAATTCTTGATGATAATTTCAAAACTTCAATTACTAAAGCCATTGACGAACATATTGTTACTGTTCCTACTGCTTATCAAGTAAATTATTTGTAAAAGAAAAACTATAATTCATTTTTCCAAAATTTTAATTAGACTGAACGTGATCGTATTGTCAATGAAATGAAACAGTCGGATCCATCATCTTATCTTGGTCTTCTTTACTCTGAATATCCTGATATCAATGGACAAACTGTGAATGACATGGCACGTAAATTAGTTACATCCAATAAAACCAAACAAGAATTAATTGATCGTATCGATAGAGATATAGAATCGTCATTTGCATCACGAACCATTGACTGGAATTCATCATCTCGAGAAACAGCTCGTCCACTCATAAGAGTATTTATTGAAAAGAGTGTAAATGATGCATTTGATCATGTTAAACTTGAATAAAATAAGAAATTTAAAATATATATGTATACAAAAAAATTTATATTTAGTTTATGAAAAAGTCTAGTAAATCATTGATGGCTTGTCGTCGTTTTTGTTGTTCAATTGCAACAGTAAATGTTAGCATAGGTTGAATATAATAGGTTTTAAGCCATTCTGGTCTATAAAACATAACTTTCTGAACATCTCGATTACGTCCAGCAATAAATATTGAATTGACTACAAGGAGTTTATGACGAACTTGTGCCACATCATAAATCACCATCTTCGTCTTCAAACATAACTTTACCAATAAGTTCATCAGGATCTAATGCAGCACATGTAATATATAATACACGTACTTCATTATCAGATAAATTCTTATAGTTGGAATAATTACGTAATCGATCAAGACTATGATCCTTGTACTCAACCAAAGTACATACAATATCCAAATAATACATTAATTTTGCAATAGGATCATTTGGAATTTGAACCATACGACTTGCACGAGATAAACTAAAAGTATGCCATGATAATATTCAAACAAGATATAAATTCATTATACTGATACATATTATTTTTTAAGTAAAGTATTCAGCGAACCATGAAGGAAGTAAAGATATTACTCATTTAAATTAATTCGTAATAATATAATGAATCATCTGACTTAGTATATAGATCAATAAATGATTATAAGGTAAGAAAGAAATACAGACTTTTATTTGATCAAGTTTAACTTGTTTATAGAACATGAAATATCTATTGTCTTAGAGAGATGAAATACAACATAAGTACGAAACAAAAAAGAAAACAAAAATTTGAACTATACAAAAAAGAAAGAAGAAGAAGATTTTTATGGACATTTTCTATCAATAATAAATTTTCCACTTTCATCATATTCTTGTTTTGAAATCCACATTTGATGAAATGAACCTAATGAAGCAAGAATTGATCCACCAATCCATGAACTAAATCGTCGTTCACTAAGTGATGGTGGTATATGAACTTTCATACGCATCGCTTGTGGTAAAATTTGTGAAAGTTCACGATGAAGACGTTCAACAAGACCAAGATAAAATGAATTTCCTCCAACAATACTAATATTTGAATAAAGTGATGAACGTACATCAGGATCACACATGGTTACAGAATTTGTAACTAAACGTGGAAGATCAAGCATAGATGTTAATTGAACACCACCACCTTTAACAATAGATGGATTAAATAAACTTTCACTAAAAATTTTCGAAAGAAAAAGAAAAAAATAAATTTCTTTGTTTTTTTTTTGTTTTCATTTGAAATGACTTACGGAATACGATAACGTTCTTCACCAAAATCAAGATTAAGACCATTTGGAAATTCATATGAAACACGTGGTAATTGACTTATTTCACTTTCATTATAGGGTGTATCAGATATTTGTAAAACTGTTTGTCCTAAATCTTGTAAAATTTCTTTTGTCATAAATTTTTTATATGAATCTGTTATATTATCAGGTACATTTGCTTTCATTACCCATTTTGGTTGTTCATAAGGTTGTACAGATTCACGTGATTTTATTAAATAATGTGGAACTATGTCATGATTATTATTATCAAGTAATTGTTTAAGTTGAGATAAAATAAAATCTCCACCAAGTGGTGATTGTACAATAGCTTTTTGTAAAACCATTCCTTCATGTACAGGTACGGCTGTTGTATGTGTTGCACCACAATCAAGTATTAATGCTGTTGCTTTACCTTGAGCAAATGATGATAAAACAGCATTTTTAGCTAAATAAAATGCTGGTATTTGAAATTTTTCAAACATGATTTCACATAATTTTTCACGTTTAAAACGTTGATTTATAGGTGGTTCAGACATAACTAGTGGATGATATTGTGGACCTTGTTCTTTATCACATAAACAATCAAATGTATGTGACATAATTTGTTCAAATAAATCCCAATCATCAATCATTCCATCTTTTAAAAATGATTGCATATAAAGATTTGAACGTGGTACACGTAATGAATTTAAATCAAAAAAATATTTTTTCTTTGGCATTGTTATATTTTGAGTATCATCAACAGTCATTGCATTCTCAGAACTCGGTGTTTCTAATATATCTAATATACCAACATGACTAGGATAATCATATTTTGGTGTTTCTTCACCAGCATAACCGGCACGAACTGTATGTGAACCAATATCAACGACTAGAGCACCAACTTCATCACTACCATATGTTCCACTACTCATTTTTTTTAATCTAGAATGTAAAATAAATAAAAATTATATTTTTGATCGATGAATAATTAATAATAAAAACGAATTTTTCATGCAAAATTTGTACAGAATAGGAAAAAAAAAGAATCATTTTTGATTATTAGGTAATGATAATCTTGCAGCTGCTTGTTCCCATGCATCAATGGATTGATTATAAAAATCAATTTTTTTATTTGCCATTAAATGAAATAAATGAGTTAATTCTTTATCTTTTAATTCTGTCCATCGATGTATATCAGCTTTAATTGTTTCATTCGCAATTGTAAGTTGATCGAACATTTCTTCACTATTATTTGTTGTTACATTTTCTGATAATTGTGCACGACGTTTTAAAACATCTTGAACAACATTTGTAAATAAAACATATTCATTAATTGGTTCAATAAATTTTGTATTTGTATATTTTAATAAATCCATTTGATTTTCAACAATTTTTTCTTGTGTAGAAGATACAATATCAATAAATGAATCATTCTCGTCATATTTTCTTTCAATATCAAGCCATTGTTTAAATGTTGATAATAAATGTTCTTCTTCAGTTTGTATTGATACTTGATCTGTTTCTATTTTACGTGTAAGACGTTCAAGTTTACGTAAATTATCTTGTAATGTTTGTATTTGATTTTCAGTACGAGAAAATTCACTTGGAATTGGTTTACCACGACCCATAGGTTGTCGAAATGGATTTGAATTTGTTGAAGAAATATGTGGTGATACGGATGATATTGTTGTTGCTTGTGTTTGTTGTTGTTGAGCAGTATGAAGTGTATCATCATCGGCTGATAAAAATAATTGTACAGATGAATCAATTGATATAACTGGATTATCAATAATACGTTGAAGAAAATTTTGTAAACCAATCATACGTCGTCGAATAAATTCTCCATCATCAGCAACAACATGTAATTTATTTGATAATGTATGTTTAGCTGGTAATGGTGATATAATATTAAATGGATATTTCATATCAAGTAAATTTTTTAACCAAATAAAATCATTATAACGTCGACGTACATTTGTTTCATTGATTTTAACACTATCATTATATGTTTGTGTATTTACTAAATAGGTTACATATGAATCAAGATTTGATTTATGTTTTTTTGGATCACAAACACAAATTCTTATATATTCACGATTAATTTCAACTTCTTCTTTACGTTCATTTGTTGATGGAAGTATCCAGTCATTATGACTATGACTTATTGATAATGAAGATATTTTCTCATTAAAATGTAAATCATTTGTATCTATTGATGATAATGATGATGGTGGATTATTTTCTTCACGTAATGCTCGACTTAATGGATCATCCATTATTTCAAAAAAGAAGTTTTTTTTAGTTTTGATTAAAATGATATTTAATTGTTAATGAAATAATTTCAGTCAATCCATCGACAAAAAAAAAAGAATAAAGAAAGAACAAATAAGTGATTGTTTAAAGAACTTTAATTGACGCATCACTTTTAAAAGAGAAAGATGTCGCTATAGATTGAAGTCTAAAAATGATATATATTATTTGAGTAGTTCTAATTATAGTATACTATTCATGTTAAGTATTAATATAACTCGAGTTGTAAATGAATATTTATTGTTAATATAAATATATCAAAGAGAATCAATGTTTTCTAGTTTAGAAGTACACTCTTTGATCGGAAAATCAAATAAATTATTAATATTGTTCTTCTCCTCATCATCGACAAATTTGAAATATATGAATAGATCAGATATATGGTAATAACCGTCGTCTCAATATGAAACCACCAGATTGTTACAATTGATAAGATTTTGGAATTTATTATTAGAGAAGATATGTGTAACTTAATACATAAAATAATAATTCTAAGAATGTTAATATTTATGATGAAAAGATAGAAAATTCATTAAAATATTACATATAATAAACTACTATTTTTGACTAGCATACTAACATTGACTATTGACAATGACGTACTCGTAAATAAAACAGTTAACATCAATAATTAATGTTCGGATGTTGCTGCATCTACAATTATATTATATTGTGTTTTGTACGAGCGACAATCATTGTATTCAATACGTTGAATGAGTTACTATTAGATTAAATGAAATACAGAATGATTCTCATTGTTGTTATCTTTCATTCTATTTTATTATGACTAATAGAATTCTTTAGACAAAATATTTGTTTGTTTATTGATTGATATGATTATTTAAATGACTAAAATGACTTATTGTTAAAACAGGAAATAACTAAAAGGCAATAGAGCGCAATAATTAGATCATCAAACAGTTTCCTGACTTGTTATTAACAATGAGACGTAATTAGAATCTAACCTATTATAAAATTTACGAATTGTTTTTTGTTTATATTTGATAAGAAAAATAAATAAACAGAAAGCTTTTAATATATAAGATATCATCCAGTTTATTTATTTAATATATATATCGAATAATAAAAGAAAATAAAAAACAAATTAAGACATAATCTGATTTAAATAGTGACCAAATAATAATGGATTACCCTTTTCATATTGTCGAAATTTATGATTAACATATTTTTCTAATGTTTTAGCGATTGTTGAACAAGTACAATGATATAAATAACCTTGTTGTTCCATTTCATGTGCAATTTCTAATTGATGATTATTCATAAGTTTTTCATTCACAACAACTAATAATGGTTTATGTGCTTCAAGTGTTTGTAGAATCGTTCCGGCACCAGCATGACTAATAACAATATCAGCTTGTTGAATATCATTATCAATTGAATCTTTATATTTATAATGTTCAATAGGAATTGATAGATTATCATACGATGGCATTTGACTATTACCCGTTTGTAAAATTATTTTATCAATATGTAAACGATTAATAAGTGTTTCAAGTACATTCGAATCATGAATAATCGTCTCAATTAATAGATCAAATTGAGTTGTACCTACAGTAATAAAGGCACACTTTCCCATTAGACGTTTTCTCTTCAATCTAGAAAAATTTGTACATCACGTAAAATCATACTATCATTTATGTTAATGTATACAAATAAAAGAGAAAAAAAAAGAAAACAAAAAAAAGAATACATCTATGAAGACAAATAATGGTGGACGGATTTGAGCAATATTTACTCATACACATTTATAATAGAGTACAACTACAAAAACATTTGTCATGTGAATGTCTATCTAATGCAACTTTAGCAGCATATTCAAATACTTCTCGAACACCTTCACGTGTCTTTGCTGAACATTCAAGATAATTTCGTGCGCCAATACGTTTAGCACATAATAGTGCATCTTCAGTTGTGATGATTTTTTGATTTTGTGATTTAATACGTTCATGTACAATTGGATCATCACGTAGATCACGTTTGTTCGCAATTAAAAGTATAGGTACATTATGACAATAATGTTTCACTTCAGGTGCCCATTTATCTAATACACATGTTAAACTATCAGGTGAATCAAAAGCAAAACAAATTAAAACAACTTGAGTATTTGGATAACCAAGTACACGAAGTCTAAAACAAAAACAATAGATGATGATTATTATTATAATAAAAGAAATGTCAATAGAAAATATTTATTTAGTAGAAAAATGAAGTATTCATTTTCCTTATGAAAAGTGGCCAAGAAGAACGTTCTTCTTCTAATTAATTGATAACAGAAATTCTATATTTTTTTTTTCTTGTAACTATAAAGAACACTTAAATTAGTCTATTTGTTATTTATATAACATGATTAGATAGACACAGAATGAAAAATCGAAATATTCACAATATCTAGTTAATTATCATTTATATTAGGATGTGTGTGTGTATCGTTCTATACATAGTAATGATGTTGCTTACAGGCATATATAGATATATACATATATTAGACACGTCTCTCAAATTTATTGATATTAAAGTGCTATTTATATCTAATCATCAAAGCTCATAAACATATATAATATTTATTTTTAATATAGATAAAAAACATTATTTATTTGTTTTAAAAGAATATATATTACTACCTGGCATATTCTTCCTGTCCAGCTGTATCAATTAATAATAATTCAATACGTTTATTATCAACATCAATAATATGAGTATTTCCTTCGAATAATGTTGGAACATAATCTTGACAAAATCGATTATCTTTAAATGCATAAAGTAATGATGTTTTGCCAACATTTCCATTACCAACAACGACTAATTTCTTACGAACTAAATCAACATCCGAAGTCATTTTTCTTTATTGTTATTGTTGTTTTTTTTTATTCTTCTTTTTTTTTTTTCTTCGTCGCCTTTTTCTTAATTCATTATTATGTTCGTCTTCTTGTAAGCAACCTTCAAAGAATAAAAGAACAAGAAAAAAAAATCCAAATAGAAATAAGTAAGTAAGCCTGTCTTTCTTTCTTTTTTCTTCTCCCCTCTCTCTCTCTCTCTTCTCTTCTTTCTCTCGTGATTATTAAGGAAGCGCAAAATCCATTTCCTTTAAACACACCAAAGGAAAAACGATTCAATGAAGAGGATGATAATGATGATTGATCTCTATATATCTAAACAATCAATTCATAAAAAAAGAAAGCGAAAGGAAGGTACTCAATACAAAACAATAAAAACAATTTATAAATCGTTTCGACTATTAACAAGAAATAGGAAAAAAAATATTGACACATAGATGCAATAGAGAGCACTAGTGTATGTCATAGGTAAACGAAAAGAAAAGCAAGAGGTAATATATATAAAAAAAAATAAAGAGGAGTAAAAAGAAGAGAAAAAAAACGAGAAAAATGAGTCGACAACGACAAAATGCAAGTGTGTAAGTAAGAAACATAAGCACTACATCGACATTCGAGTTCTCTCCTTTGCTTACATTTTCTTCATATCCATAATTATCATTCGATAGTCTCATTAACAATCAGTTAAATACAACAGGAAAAAAAGAACTATAAAAATTCTTAAAGAACAAATTTAAGTATGAAAATATAGAAGACGTCATCGATAGTATCAAACAAAACATGCGTGTAGATATAAATCTTGCAAATAATAACTTATTTACACTTTTATGATTTGGTCATATGTTTTTTCTCATATAGATATAGACTTCGTGCTTAGAATATGATTGTCTCTTTCTTTTTTGTTTAGCTTAATGCTGAAAATAATTTTCTATACCTTGCTTTATATATTTTTCTTTTATTTTATTCATAATCAATGGTCCTTGATTTTTTATTCTCGCGTCTATAGAAATTTTTATATTTAATCTTAGAAAATTCCATTCACCAGAAAAAAAAATATCTAGTCTCTATTCTTTCAATGTTTCTTTTGTTGCCATATGTAGTCGATCAACAACAACATACGAGACAAAAAAAAGATCGATACGGATCATTGACAGACCAAGAATGATGAAGGATTTCAGCGATAAAAATAATGACAGATAGAAGTCATGCTTATGAATGACATCTTATTATTATTGATTATAGTAATGTTTCTATTATATAAAACAAAAAAAACTAACACTTGGAATATTTATATAAATGTTTACTGTTGATTTTACGAATAAGATAAACTTTGTTTTGTTTCTACCAGCTATCATTTATTTAAGGATTAGAATTATTTATCTTGCATGATTCTTACCGACAATCTGTCTCGATTCTCATCATCACCATTCTATTGCTCGCTTGAAAAACTTTGTATTTCAATACTTACTACTTTTTTTTATTTTGTCTATAAAATCCTATCACAACTAACACGACTAACGGCGACCAACGAACAATAATAATAGCGACAAGAATAAGAGTGAAAGCGGATGAAGGGAGGGGGGAGAGAAAGAGAGATAGAGTAGTGTTCGGCAGCTACGCTTGATTCCGTGTACTATTGTGCACTCTGCTACCACTTTCCTCTCGTTTTCTTCTTTCTTTTTTGTTCTCATCGTCGTTATTTCATTTTTTTTCTCTCCTGCTTCTGTTTCTTCTTCTTCTTATGTGTGTCGTCCAACACATTTATCTTATTCGTTGCGGAACTTTTACCTGTCTCCATAATAATTAACACTTCATATCGGTGACTGTCAAAAACAACACAATATTTCCTTTTTTTTTTATCATAATCAAAATTTTCAATAATAAATTGTTTTTCAAAGAATAAAAAATATCGATTTAATTTATAAATTATAAACAAAGACGTCATCTTTCTTATTATTACCTTTCATTGTAAAAATATTTCTGAAAAGAAAATAATTCTAAAACAAAATACAAGAAAAATATTTATTTTTGTGTTATATGATATTGATGAAATATAAGAAAAAGTATAATCATAATTATACTTAAAATAGTATAAATAAAAAAAAGTAATGTATAAGATGAATAATAAATAATTGGATGACAAAAAGATAATGATACTTGATTAATTAATTCAACACTATTCGATATGTTTATAACTATAATTGTTAATAAAATTAAACAAGATAAACAAATCAAATTAATAATTATTTCAAAAAATGATAAAATTATTGTTGTCAATTGAGCTGTATGAAAAGTTATTTTTGATGTATATTTTATAGCTCGTTTCCATATTATGGATATAATTAAAAGTAAAATAGCAGCTATTAACGATGTTATACCACATATAATCATATGTAAAGGAATATAAAATGATTTCGGACATGAATGAAAATAAATTATACCTATACTAATCATATAAAGCGGAATTGTAATCATAATTAAACTTGAAAATATTAAAATTCGTCGATTATACCATTGAATAAACATATGAATTATTTCATCAATTATCATTTCAGCTGGATTTGGTATATGTTCTTTAATCGTATCTACTAATGTCTTATTATCAGTCATAACTTAAAATTTTACTATCAATGAATAAATACGAAAAGCAAAAATAATGTTGCTTAGCAAAAACTTGACAGATTTTAAAAAAATATTAATAGAGAAATAGTATTATTATTATAACGGAATCAATATTTCCTCGACTAAAAGAATAAGATCTAGGAAACGGAAATTCATCTGACTCTATGATACCTATGATTATGTTGAATAATAAAACTAAGATCTACTTATTATAATGCACAATTAGTTAAGAGTATTATCATATGAAATGAGTTAATCTAATCTAATTATTGTTGAATATACTTTTCTTTTTTTAAATCATTGAAGTAACAACAAAACTAAAACTCATTAATGTATTCCCTTGAGATACATATATATATATTTATTCCATCAATATTCATCTATTTTAAAATCATGAAAACTAATGAGTTTCTTTTCTTGTCATTTTATGTTTTAACTCGATCAGAAAATTATTTCAAAACTAGGTTTGTTCTTTTTTTCTCGCCTTATAAATATTAATTATTCTATCTTATTCTTTTCAACTCATACATTATTCAAGTTCACGCATATATTTGATTATATCCAGATTCTATATTAATAAATAAATAAATAAAACAAAACAGTTTTTTTTATCAAATGACTAGTATATATATATACATAGATATATATATTCTTTTCTTTTTTTTTTGTTTTCGTCTGATATATTTCTAAAAAACAAACTGACACAGATGTGTTTAAGAATAAGGAATAATCAAATGAACGGCATACAATGGAATACATAAAAACAGTAAATAGGTGATCAGTTGACTTATGTGCAAGGAAATTATAAAAAACGAAGAAGAAGAAGATTAGCGTGTTATATATGCATATGTATATGCCTGAGCAAAGATATTTAAAAAACGAAAACGAATTAATTTCATTCAAGGTTTATCAAGTTGTACCATAAGTAAACGAAAACTAATTGATGATGATGATAACATACGATTACATTCTTGTGAAGTTATTGGTAATTTCAAATATTCTGTTTCCGTATTATTTTGATTAAATTCAAAATGATATATTATTGGTTGAATTTGTAATGTTGTTGGATCACCATGTGGACCTTTGAGTAGAAAAAATTTTAAATCAATTGTTTGAGTTATTTTCGATTTGAGTACTAATTGATAACTCAATGAACGTGTAATTGTTGTATGTGGATGTGGAATATTATCATTGATACGAGCACGTACTTGCCATTGATATTGTAATGCTGTAAAACGTGATGTTTCAAAATAAAGTTTAGCAACAAAATCATCCGTTCGAAATGGTTTTAATATAAGATCTAAAAATAGAAAATTAATTTTATACGAATCGAAATATCGCATATATATATATATAAACTTGTGTTAAATTTGTTATATCTACAAATAATCTAGATAGCTCTCTAATTATACCAACCTCAAAATCTGAATATTAAATGTACCTAGGAATATGCTGATAGATCAATAATATATAGTTCGCTTTTTTTCTCTCTTAGTAAAAACTTTAACGATAGAGTAATTAGTTTTATGTCTTACCACTAACTCCAATTTGATTAAGTGAGAGTAAATCTACTACTGTTTCAAGACATTTCTTTTCTTCATCATGTGCATGTTTTTGTGCTCGAATTGTATCAATTAATTCTAAACCATTTTTAGCTGGATATTCACATATAGTTAAATGTGAGGATAAAGTATGAAATGGTCCATTCCAATTACAACCAAGTAATGCATAATCACATACTGTTGGTCTAGAAAAATGAGGGAATTCATACATTTTATATTGACTAAGTAAAACAAACCTATCGGAACAATTTTGTGATTGATGCATTTTAATTTCTGAACGTAAAAATGTTTGAAGACAATAATCACATTGTATTGGTAATTCCGATATCGTTTTTTCAACTGCTAAATTTCTTGTACAATTCGATTTCGATATTTCACAACGACAATTTGGACTAAAAGAATAAATTGTGTTTTTTGTTTTTTTATATAAATCAATCTATTTAACAAACCATGTTGTTTGTTCATCTTTTAATTTACAATCAGCTAATAGATGATTAAAACAGGAAGCACACATAAGATGTCCGTTAACACACTAAATCAGAGCGAAAAATAGAAATATGGTAATTTTATTAAAACTATTACTTGAAATATTGGTAATGTCGATAGATCCAAACAGATACAACATGATAGAATAGAACCAATACGATCTTCAAGTAAACGTGGTTTATCATTTGTTATTGATTTACATTTTTTTGTTGGAGGTTCATCAACATTATTAATTGAATCTAATGTTGAATTCGTTGATGCTTCTACTTGATTGATCATATAAGAAGATATACTAAGCATCATTTCTGATGAGAAATCATTAGTTGTAGTTGTTGTTTCAGCCATGTAGATTGTTTTGAGAAGGGAAAAAAATATATACGAAGAAATTTGATCTATTGATTTCGAAGGAAGTGAAAAAAAGTCCACGTGATGGTGTTCAGTCAGCTGACGTCATATTAACTTCTCTCGTAATCATTTCATTGGTTGTTTCTAACCAGTTATTAAATAATATCAACTTCACTACTAATTCCAATTTTGTAAAAAAGACAAAATAAATTAAATTTCAAAATTTTTTAATTCGATAAAATATAGATCTTTTTATTTTAAAAGAAATATACTTTATTAAAATGAATTAGTACTATTGGTCGAATTAATTCACCGATGAGAGTGGCGCATCGAAAAAAGGCAACAAAGTGTTAAGAATCGACTCTTCAATAGACAAATCCAATATTTTCAAAATCTAAAATAAGCATGTCGATACCACAACCTCCAGACGGTATTTATTCATTGATTTTAATCTAGAATTTATAAAAATTACTGATTATTTAGATCCAGAAACAAGAAATATTATCGAAAAACTTGCTAGTTTTGTTGCTCGTATGATATTATGAAATGAATGAAATTTATCGAATAATCTTATTTAATTTTAGGTAATGGTCCAGAATTTGAAGCGGCAGCAAGACAAAAACATGAAAATAATCCAAAATTTTCTTTTCTACATGGTGGTGATTATCAACATTACTATGCATTTTGTGTTCAAGCCGAAAAAGCTTGTAAATATACTGAATAATTATTTATTATTATTTTATATTTATATTTATATTAGTACATCAACAACCACCAAATCCTTTTCATTTACCACCACCAAATATTCTTGCACCACCACCAATGTCTCATCATTCATCTCGACCAACATTACCACCATTTACTGGTCCTCCTCCACCACCCGGAACAAATGGTCCACCACCTCCTCCATGGACAGTATGTTTATTTAAGAATTTATTCTAATATCTAAACTTCTTTCTTGTTTTTAGCAACCACCACCATCACATTTATTTCAATCTGGACCTCCTCCACCACCACCAATGCCTATCCCTCCAATTCCACCTCCAGCAGTTGTTATTGAACAAGCATTTCAACAACAAATTCAAGCATTACAAGAACGTTTAAGACAAAGTGAAATAAATCTTGCTGCACAACATGATTCAATGCAAATAAATAAAAAAGTATTTGTTTTATTCTTCGGAAAAAAAAGAATATTTATTTTATTTTTGATTATTAGACAAAAGTTCAAGAAAATATTCGTGCTGCTAGACAAGCACGTATTTCAGCACAAGCAAATGAATCTAATATCGATATGAATGAACTTGATCGAACAATATTAGCGATTGTTGAAGCTTGTACAAAAGATAATATTTCTGTAAAACAAATTCTTTAGTTTTTAGTTTCACAAATTTCTGTTTTTTTTAGAGTGGTCGAAATTGTATATTTAATTATAGTCAAACACCAATGCAAGCTGAAACAATTTGTTTATATTTAATTGATCGATTATTTGCGCCTGAAGCAACAAGTGATACTTATCTTCATTTAATTTATTTAATTAATGATGTACTTCATAATTGGTTAGATAGATATACTTTTATTTTCATTTTATTTGATTTTTTGTTAGTCTTCGTAAGGGTAATGATGAACTTCGAATCCAATTGAGTAAAATAATTGTTCCAAGTTATTGTTTGGCTATTGATCAATCAAATGATGAGCGTAAACAAAAATTGGTCAAGGTAGAGATATTAAAAATAACTGGATAATAAATTTCTAAAAGATTTATTATAAAATCTTTCTCCACATCCTTTCTCATACAGTTACTTGATCTTTGGGGAAAAAACAAATATTTCAATGATGATATTATGGAGGTAAAATAAAAGATAAAAAATTAAATATTTTCTATTATTTTTTTTTGTCTTTAGAAACTTTGTGATGTTCAACAAGCAAAAAGACATTATGAAGTAAAGAAAATCTATTCTTAAAATTTGATATTAATTTTTTTATTGAAAGGATGCTATTCGTATTGAATATGCACCGATTATTGAAGCAATTGGAATTAGTTTTGATGAAAACTATGCTCAACTTGAAAGACAACATGCAGAATTTGCTCTTCATATCCAAACACAAATTAATCAAATTCAACAACAAATTGTTCAATTTCATCAAGTTCAACAACAAACACCACCACCTCCTCCACCTCATTTATTAAATAATACTTTTGGTATTTCTACTCTTTTTTGTATGATCCTATTCTTAATCTCAATATAATTTCATAGGTCCACCACTTCCACCAAATATGTTAACTCGAATGCCGCCTCCATCTCAATCAAATAATTCTATTCAACAACCACCACCACTAATGTCATTAAATCCATTCAATGAAAATAATCGAGATAATCCTAGTAAATAGTTCATTAGTCATACTAATCATTATTTATTTATTTATTTCAAAGGTCTTCGTTCATCATCAAATATATATGATAATACTCCTCCAGCATTAATGTCAATGCCAATATCTCACTATGATAATAATAATCAACATGATGATTATGGAAATAATAATATGAATACACATATTGAACCACCATTTGATTTAAATATGGTTACAGATGAAATACCATATTATGATTTACCAGCTGGTCTTATGTGTTTATTAGTTAGAGTAAAGTTTAATATCTTTTTTAATTTTGTTTTATTTTCTTTATCTTACTTTTAGGATGAAGATTGTGATTATAATCCAATTGATCCAACAAAAATGTATTTACCACCATCAGCACCAATATCAGAACGGTTATTAACAGCTGTAGAAAATTTTTATATGTTACCAACACATGAAACACCAAGAAATGCGTATGTTTTATTTTAGATAATGATTTAAAAATATAACAATTTTTTTTATATTTTAGTGAGGGTTGGGAACGATTAGGTTTATTTGAATATTATAAAGTAAAGAATATACACAAATTTTCAAAAGAACGTATTATCAATGAAACAATTCATCAAGATAATAAAGATAAACGACAAAGAGTTAATAGAAGTCGTTCGAAGAGTTCATCAGGCTCATCATCAAGATCTTCATCATCATCTTCATCATCCTCATCATCAGCTTCATCGTCATCTTCATCATCATCATCAGCATCTTCATCGTCAAAAAAAAATTTAAATGCAAATCAACAGAAAAAAAGATCTAGGTTATTTATTCTATTTATTATTTCATTATTAATAATTCTTTTTCCTTCTATTAGATCTCGATCAGGATCACCTCCGTATAATAAGCAATATTCATCAAAAAATAATCCATCAACAAGATCTCGATCTCGTAGTACATCTCCACCATCATTCTCCACAGTCTATACACCTCATAGGTAGATATCCAACATAGAAAATATTTTCTTATAATTGAAAATTAAATTCTAGCTCATCAAATGAACCATCATATCATCGCTCACATCATCAACATAAATTATCTGATTCAAATGTTGGTCATAAACTTCTTCAAAAAATGGGTAAAAAAAATTAATTTACAAAATCAAAAAAAACTGTACATATTTTTCGAAATTTCAGGTTGGCAAGAGGGTATCGGTCTTGGTCGACGTGAACAAGGTATTGTTGAACCTATTGCAGCAAGTACAAATGTAAATAATGAAGGAAAAATGGATCAATACAAAGGTATTGGTCATGAAGATGATCCATTTGAACAATTTCGTAAACAAAAAGCAAAAGGTTATGTAACCCGTTTAATGGCTGCACAAGCTGAAACACAATCACGACGTCATGAACCAGGCGATGACGAGGTATCATCATCATCAGATCGTTCAGAAGAAAAACCTAAAAAATAAAAATAAAACAATTTCTTACTTTGTTGTTGTTGTTGTTTATCTTCTATATATTTCATTTGATATGATTAATCTATCAAATCTCTCTTTTTCTTTCTCATATCTTGTCATTAATTGAATGATTAAAAATTTTTTAGATTAAAAAACTATCTAATCTTTTATAATGGTTAAATTACAACGTGTCCAACGTCCAAAAACCCAACGTGGTAAACGTGCATTAAAAGAACGTGAACCAAAATTACTTGAAAATGCTCGTTCATTATTATGCATTCGTGGTAATAAAACAAATAATGTGATGAAAATTTTATTAAAAAATCTTCATTTACTTAAATCACCACATTCAAAAATGTATCAACGAAAAAATCTTGATATTTTACCATTTGATAGTACATCGAAATTAGAATGGTATTGTCAAAAATCCGATTGTTCATTATTTGCATTTGTAACAACAAATAAAAAACGACCAAATAATCTTGTTTTAGCACGTTTACATAATCATATTACATTAGATATGTTTGAATTTGAATTAAATAGTAAAACATTTCGTTCATTAGACGATTTTAAATGTGAAAAATTTGCAACAGGAAATAAACCATGTTTATTATTTCATGGTGAATTATTTGATAATGAACCCGATTATAAGCGTTTAAAATGTTTTCTTACTGATTTTTTTCGTGGTGAAATAAATATGAAAGAAATTGATCTCAATGGTCTTGAACATGTTATGACATTTACAATTGATTCACAAACAAAACTATTGTCTATACGTGTTTATCATGTTGAATTAAAAAAATCTGGTCATCGTATACCACGAATTGAATTAAATGAAATTGGACCACATATTGATTTAACTGTTCGTCGAACAAAATTAGCATCAGATGATTTTTATAAGAAAACACTTAAACAACCAGATGCTATTAAACAAAAGAAAGTTAAAAATGTGACAACAAATGAATTAGGTACAAAAATGGGTCGAATACATATGGAAAAACAAGATTATAATCAATTACAAACAAGAAAAATGAAAGGATTAAAACGTGGTTTAATAACAGAAAATGGACAACAATCAGAAGAAAAAAGAAAAAAAATTGATTGAACTAATTGAAAAATACAAAATTTGTTCTTGTTTTTTTTTTCTAATATATCATTGTTTTGTTGTCGAGAATAAATAATAATCTTAAGATTATTTTCTCGATTTTAGATGGCATCTAATGAACAGACAACAACAACATCAACACCTACTAGTAATGCTAAAGTAACATTTAAAATAACATTAACATCTGATCCGAAATTACCATTTAAAGTGTAAATATTTTTTATGACGAAAAATAAGTTTTATTGAATATTTTTGTTTTTTTCTTCGTAGGTTAAGTGTACCTGAAAATACACCATTTACCGCTGTTTTGAAATTTGCCGCTGAAGAAGTAATTTCATATTTCTATCCTTTATGAAACAAAAAACAAAGATCTTTCTTTAAAATTATAGTTTAAAGTTCAAGCAGCAACAAGTGCAATTATTACAAATGATGGTATTGGAATAAATCCATCTCAAACGGCTGGTATAAAACAAAAACGAAAAATTATTGTTTTTTCTATTAATATATGATTTATTATTTAGGTAATGTTTTTCTTAAACATGGCGCCGAACTTCGAATTATTCCACGTGATCGTGTTGGTTATTAATATCGAAGATTAATTTTAATCATTTTATTCTCTCGATTTTTTTTTCTTGGGATTTATTTATTCATCTATTTATTTTAACATGAAATAAATAACACCATTAAGAAATCAAAAAAAAACTTTTTTCTCTTATTCAATATATGAATTTATATATAGTCTATCCGCAGGTTCAATTGTACAAAATATGTCGTAATCGTCAATATCAAGTATTTCTTTCTGATTGTATGAATATCCCTATATCAAATGATACATTTGACGGAGCTATATGTATTGCTGTTATTCATCATATGAGTACAGAAGTAAGAACGAAAAGGAAAACTTAAATGAATAATAAAAATGTTAAATCATCATTATCAGATAATCTATCATCAATTGACAGAAATGATGAGTTAATTATTCATACACCACGTACAGAATTTCAACGATCAGATTGTCTTGTACCATGGGTAAAACGAACGGAAACATATTTAAGATATTGAAATTATTAAATCATATAATGATGATAGAGATTGGGTGTGTGATATTTGAAAAAAAATATGACTATCATCAAGTGACTTTTGCTCTGTTGAATAAATAATGAATTATATGACATAGATTGAAATACTAGTTTTATTATCTCATTTACATACGTAGAGAATATTGTAAAGGTTATGATCTAAACCGGAATGATTTATCAGCAAGAAAAAAAAATTAAACATAATAATAAATAAGTGGAGCAGCCACACAAATAACGATAATTCGAAAAATATTTGTAAAAACTAATAATTTTTCTTGTTTTAATCTATTAGATTCGTAACGTTTACCAAGAAGATGTTCTGCTTCATCATCATCACTGTGTATATTAACATGACTACTAGCTGTTGCTGTTGTTGTTGATATTGGTATTATTGAATGAGGTTGTGGAGCAACAGATTGATTAATTGAATGAAATGAATCTTGACTTTGATTAACGGCATGATCTGTTACTGAAAATGATGCCATAGGAGTTTTAAATGAAAAAGATGATGACATAATATATTTAAATTTTGATAATATTTCATGTTAGACAGATGCAAAAAAGGTAAAGATAAATAGTATAGATAACAGAATTAAAGAATATTACATTTTATATACAACAAAACAACAAACTCTCTTTTTCTATTTAGCTTTTTTTTTTGAGGAAATTTGAAATATGATTATTTTAATGATCTGAAGTGTATACTCAGAGGAGAATGGAATATATTGATAGATGAGAACTTAGTTAATATTCTCATTGATCCTCATTGAGACAAGACAACTGATGAAGATCTTTTCTTTTGTATTGAATATTTCTCTACAGGAAATTTCTTTTTTTTTGTAATTCATAAGAAAAACAACATACGAATTCTTAATTATTTGTTCAATAAAAAAAACTAGCATTAGAGAATAAGATACTTCCCACAAGTTTCAGATAGTTTATGAAAGAATGTGCGTGTTAGAAGACGTATGAATTACAAACTACGTATATATATATATACATCATGACACGTTATATGTAGATTACTTTTCGATTAAAGAAATGCATGTTTGAATTTTCTTCTTTTTGTTGATGTCTATCAAGTATAAATTAGATATATCACTTGATGAATAATTTATAACTATCAATTTTGTTTTTACTTTTAAAGAATAGGTCGATCTAACTTAGATAACAAAAAAATATAATTATTGGCTCCGTGCTATTTTTCTGTTCTTATATATCATAGTGTGCCTATCAGTTAAACTTTTATTATAGAAAAAAAAAGAAGAAAAAACAAAAAAGAACATAGTCATCATGAAAGAGAACTCTCATACAAATAACTAAACATGGCCAATTTTTTGATTTACACATACCAACATGTGTGCAATACATGAAGAAAAAAAAGAAACAAAAATACATAGATGCATCGGGTATGAAAAAAAGCAAAAGTAAATCATAATAGAAGATGAGAGTAGAAGCCAAAAAAAAGATTCGGAACCGAAGGAGCACTGTTCGTCCATCAAACGGAATGTAGAAAAGCAAAAAGATGAACAAGAAGACAAAACAATCATGTACATTATATGAATGAATAAGTTGTAGAAATCATCACTGGTTATTTTTTTTTCCTCTTTTTCGATAACATATGAAAGAAAATAATAAAAAAAAAACAAAACAAAACAAAACAAAAAAATATGAATGACTCGTGTGTGTGTGTGTGTTTCTTTTTTGCGACAAAATAAATCCTCACACCGGAAAAGACTAAACTAACCATTCAAATGTGCTTCATGAACATATGTAAAACCATTAAATAATGGATCTTTATTTGTAACACTTCCTAAATAGTGTTCTTGAACACTTGGAGATATTGTTTCTTGTGTAAATACTTTATCAACTTGACCAAGATCAGTTGGACCACTAACAGATGGTTTCCATGGTGGTGCAATTTTTCTTGCTTCTAATTTTTCCCAATCGATTTGATCAAAAAATGGTTGACGTTTTATATCAGCTACATCTTCTGCTCCACTACCTAAACGTTCACCGGGTACTTTTCGTAATAACTAGAATATTTAATAAAATTCAATGAGAATTTATTTAGTCTTTTTAATGATAAACCTGTTCAATTAAATTGCGAGCACGTTCAGATACATTTCCAATAAAACGGAGTGGTCGATTTAAAATATTATCATACATTTCATTAACATCTCGTGAATAGAATGGTGGCTGAAAAATAATATATATGAAACAATTAAACAGAAATGTTATTTTTTTACTCGAGCGCATAACATTTCATATGTAACGGAACCTAAACACCACCAATCAACTGCTTTTGTATATGCTTCACGTCGTAATACTTCAGGTGCGAGGTATTCTGGTGTTCCACAAAATGTTGCTGTTCGTCCTTCACGTCCTTCTGTTGATAACATTACTTTGCATAGACCAAAATCAGTTAAACGAATATGTCCCTAAAACAAAAAAATATTAAAAAAAAGCAAACAAATGATTTTTGTAAATACTTCTCGATCAAGTAAAATGTTTTCTGGTTTTAAATCTCGATAGATAATATCAAGTTTATGAAGATAACCGATAGCTGATGTTATTTCTGCTGCATAAAATCGTGCACGTTGTTCAGTAAATGCTCGTTCTTGTTGTAAATGAAAAAATAACTAAAAATAAATCAAATAGAAGAAAAAAAAATATTAATAATAAATGTAATATGATATCATACTTCACCACCATTTACAAAATCCATGACAAAATAAAGTTTATCCGGTGTTTGAAATGAATATTGAAGTGAAACAAGAAATGGATGACGTGTATTTTTAACGAGTACATCACGTTCAGCCATTATATGACGTTCTTCTCGTTTACGTTTGATTAATGCTTTACTAACAACTTTAACAGCATAGATCATATCTTCACCTTTATGTCGTGCTAAATATACTTTTCCAAATGAACCTTTTCCGATACATGTTTTAAATTCGAAATCATCAGGTTGAACTCTATAGAATAGAATTTAATTTTATAACAATTTTTCTTTTTTTTTGAAGTACATACGTAGCTTTTTCTGTTTTTCCCAGATTGACACGAATTGATTCAGTCTAGATTGAGTATATATATATTAATTATTAAAATTAAAATGTTTAATTACTGGTGTCGATGGATCTTCGGTATCAACACTATTAATTTTCGTTAAATTAATCGTTGGTTTATTATTAGGTGTTTGTACTGCACTTGCTACAGCAGCAGCAGCTGTCGATGATGAACTTGATGTTATTGTATTAATACCAAAAAATTCAATGAATTCAGGTCTATAAACAAAAACGGAAAAGAACTAGATTAAGATCGATAACCTTATTGAGAAGAATGTCAATCTAAATGGAATATTATGACAATTTGTTAAATGAGACAAGACGCAATAAATCAAAAAAAAGGAAAAGAAAGAAAAGAAAATATAATTTTACACCTCTATTATTGCGTCGAAAGAAAAAAATATCATAAATAATAACATTAGATAAGATTATTTTCCCTTTTTTGCTTTGTTTTCTTTTATTTTTATACTTACAAATTAACTATTTGTGGATTAGTAGAAATTTGTTGTACATAATCATTTAAACCACGTTGACGTTTTAATACGAAATCAGGTTCAAATGAATCACCTAATAAACGTCGTCCGGGTAATTTTAAATCAGAACGAACACGACGAAGCTAAAGAAAACGAATATATATATATATTTTTCCTTAATAGATAAATAATTTCGAATATTCACTTTATCATTTAATGTATGAAATTCTTTATAACGTCTCCAAATGTCCCATTCTTGTCCATTATAATTAACAGATACTTTGTATTTTGTAAATTTTCGTCCATTTTCAGCACTTGTTTGTGCATCAACAACATGAATGGTTAATGATCCTTTTATACCACCATTTGTATTATTAGCTGTCGAAGTATTCATTTTTTCTTTAAATATTAGACAAAAAGAAAAACGAAACAATATTCAGATAAAGTAACAAATAAAAGAAGAAAAAAAGAAGAAAATAAACTATGATTATATCATGATCAACACTATTTGACAATGACAATAATGATGATAGTGATGATAAGGCAAAGGCAAAAACAAAAGACGTAAAAGGAGAGCGAGGGAGAGAGAAGAAAAGCACTAAACATAGTAAATATTGACTGATACGAGAAAGATTAGACATACTAAGATGAAAGTGACAAATTTAAGAAGAATACGATTGTTGAGAATTTTTCTCGCGTTATCTTGTCTGATTCAATAGTAAATAAGGAAATCTGTCAAAGAATATTGCATGTTTCTATTTGAATATAAGTAGAAGTAGAAATAATTGCACTTTATACTAACAGTAATCGTGCGAAAACATCGTCTCACTATGTTGACAAGGTCGTGTCTTCTGCTTCTTTTTCTTCTTCTTCGTCTTCTTCTTTTTTTTTTCAACATAACACCGCGCACTCTAAACACAAATACACATGCGTACAGAATGTAAAAGGACAATGACACGTGTATTTTCATTCTTTCTTCTTTACTAGTCAGCCAGCCAGCAAAACTCAGCGAGTGCTCTTCCCTTATTCTTCGTTCTACATATATTCTGCATCTCACACTCTCTATTCCTTTATATTTTCGCATCTCCTCTTCTTCTTTTTTTGGTTCCCTATTAAATGTTAGTAATCATATTTATTGAATGTTTTCGCTTTTGTTGCTTTTATAATCGTATATATTCAACATATCTACATTTTTCCTGTTCTATTGTATTCTCATTTATAAAGCAATATATCTTGTGCAGTAATAGAATATAATAAAGAGAGGAAGAGGATGAGAGAGAGAGAGGGAGAGGGAGGGAGAGAAAAAAAGTAATTATTTATTAAAAGATTACTAAACTATGTTAGAGATAATATTTATATATATATATCTCACCTAATACTTTAAATTGTTGTACCCATTTTTTTTGTAATTTGAGCATAGATGAATTTCTTTTCTTCTAGTTATTCTATAATAGTGTCTGATATCATTAAAGAAAATACATACGATGTTGTTATTTTTGTTTTTTACTGAAAGTTGTATCGGTTTAGTTAATACATCGTTATCATCGTAGACATTTGTCTCTTGTTCTCTTCTTCTATTTCTGTGTTATTTTTGTATTTTAGTCGGACGATCTCTGTCGTCCAATCTATACTTCCTTCGTATTCTCTCTTATAACTAGTTAATGAATGACGACCACAATGCTTCCGTCAGAAACAACAACTAATTATTATGATTATTATTCGTCTCGTTATAAGAAAAAGACAGACGAAGAAGTATCTGTTAGAATATAGTTGATAGATCGATATTTTGGATGAAAGGATAGAATGTGAGAGATAGAGAAGAAAAAAATAAGCAAAAATCTATTGGTTAATAATCTACTATAAGATATTGAGAAGGTCATAGACATTCCAATATAAACGTACTTAACCATTTTAGCATATTGATAATATAATAATTATAACTGAATCAATAAAATATAATAATTGCATACGAATGTATATACACGTGTGATCAATAGTTCCTGAAAAACTGCTGCTGCTGCTATTCTGTTTTTGTCACCTTAGTACAATCATGCATCTCTTTCAGCGCATGGTGTGAAAGTGAACATATGTCACCGATCACGCCCATCTATTTTCATTCTTTGTTTAACGATAATGGAAGTAATAGAAAACAACCAAGCATTCGAAAAAAAAAATATATATATAAGTGATATAACGATATGAGAGTGAACAAAAGATAGATGAGAAAAACTCGTTTTCAAAGAATGTCAGAGACGCTACAATAGCATCTATCTTGCTCGTCTTTGTTTTTTCTATTACGTTCCTCGCCTGATCCATTGAAACTACACATGCACTTGGATTTTTTGATTTCCGCCGTATGTGTTCTTCATGTCTCGTTCTATACATCCCGTTGGCGAGACTTATATGCTTATAATCTATAGAAAGTATTAGAGTGATTCTAGACGTCTATATACGCAGAAAATCCTACGAAATTAATAGAAAGGAAATAATAAAAAATAATGATCATCATCATCATCGTCATCATCATACTATAGATTCATTGAAGAATCTAAGTTATCTATCTAAATCAGTTTGTATATAAATAGACATCTATGACTGATTTTGACACAGCTTCTTATCAATTACTTTATTAGTAGATGAAATTGATGTTGCTGTTTTTCTTGCAAATATACTTGTAGTACTATTATTGACTTTGGATTAGAATACAATTCTTGATATTATATACTATAAATCTATATATATATATAGAAAAAAAAAGAAAGAAAGTGTATTGTATAGTTATTAAATGGATATGAACTTGTTTTCCTAAGATATCATCAAGAGAGTTCTTTGACGTCATTAATTATTTTAAAAATATAAGATTCTCTATTAATGATTAGACATTGATTTTTGATCTAGACGATGACTATATTAAATTAAATGTAACATGTGATAGACATGTCAACATCGATTGAGCATCAATGTAATGATAGACACGAAAAAAAAATTTTAAGTATATATATATATATTCAATGCTATTCTTAGGTAGATATTAAATTGTATTCTATAGTTTTATTCTTCTTCAAGCAATTAACTATGATCATAATATTACTATATCCTCTTAACGAGATAACAAAAACAACAACAACAAAAAACAGAATAGACAAGTATTTTTAAGTTAGAACTGTCATATATATATATAAAGTAAACTGATACTGATCAAGTTAGATTCTCGTTGGTCTTTTCATATAATGGATGATAACATCTACAGTCTATTATATCAATTAGACAATGTGTTTATTTACATAATGTAACCTTCAAATCAAATTTCGAAATAGAAAAAAAAATCTATTTATTTTATTTATAGAATATGATTAGATAGACCAATTAATAATTAATATTAGTTGTCTACTATCAACAAAACCTAACAAAAATCTATCTAAAAGGAAATAATGAAGCTGCATGTCGAAGATTAAAAGAATACAAAATATGTCAAACAACACGTCCATAAGCGTGCAGAAATAAGGAATCAAAGATTCTACAAATTGGAATGCCTATCCCTTAAGAATTTCCTGACTTACTTGAAATTGAGAAGCACATCATTAGTATTAAAGCACGGTATGTTTGTAGATAAAATAAATTTCTCTTGTCAAAATGATATAAATGAGATCACAATGCCATAGCCTTATATTTGAACTAATACTTTCTTTGCGTTTTGCTTTTTAAGTAAGTGAGTGTGCACAACTACTTATTTACTCTGCTTTTCTTTCTCTATCTCCCTCTTTATGCGCGCTCTCTCTCTCTCTATCTATCTTTTCCTCAATCACATACAATTTTCATCGTTTTCTAACGTATTCATTCATAACTCGAAGAAAATAAAGAACGGAAAAAAGTAGAACTGCTTAACAAGAAATTTTCAATAATGAGTATCAACTACTTTTAAACTAAATCAGTACCGACAAATCAATAAAAATTCAAATATTAGATATAATATAGACATATCATCATAAACTATTTTTTCCAAATTAATAAATATGCATATATCAAATTTTCGATGGATAGATAAATTTTAATCGAGTAGCAAAAAGTATTATATATCAAATATAGACTTACATTATTTGATGTTGAATTATGTGAATGTATGTATGCAATGCTCGTTCTTGCAAACAGAAGACCGAGCACACCAAGAATGAAACGTGAGGCGACGGATGCCTTTGGCTGATTTATTTCTCTACTCTACATGACGTAGCAAATTCTGATGCATGTTTCTTGCTCTTTTTTTTTTAGTCGTTTGTTTGTTGCGATATTGACACAAACAGTAGTAAAGCAGCCGAAACTTTTTCTCGCTTTTCACCGCGTTATCTTACTCATTTTCTCTCGCTTGTGTTTTTTACGACTATTTCCATTGTCTCTACATGTGCATCAACAGTGATTGGTGATGATGAAGCAGCAGTAATGTTTATTATAGACTATGTAAATACATCAAAAGATTGCATTTGAAATACATTAGCAATCATTTAACCATTACAATTCAGTTCCTGTTGTTTTTCTTTTAATAAAGATTTTATATTCATATAGATTTGTTTATAAATTAATATTTCATTTTTTAAAATACGTAATTCAGCTAGAGAAGATTTTATTTGATTGGTTGTTTTGAAATTATTATTGACATAGAATAAATAAGATTTTTTTAATGATTGTTTTTCATCGATATTATTAAGTAAAAAAATATGTTCGATAAGAACATCTAAACGTTTATGTAGAATAATATTATAATGTGTTTTACAAATTAGTTGATAGATAATTAATGATAATTTTTGTTCGAAATCGATATGATACGATTGATTATTATTTAATTCTATTTAGAAATAAAAATGAATTATTAAAAATCTCATATATATATCTCAAGTAGAATATAACAATAGCTAAGTACTCATAAATAAAGTACTTCGACTGATTATTAATGTTGTTGACTTGAATTAGCCTAAGACGAATGATCTGTTGATATATATTTATATATTCATTATTTTGCTTTTTTTATGTAAATATTTTTTGCTTCGAGATATATAAAATCTTAATACCTTTTTGAACTGATTTATGGTGAGAACTGATTTTAGTTCGTTGATAAATTCGATATTGTAAATCCTTAGTTTTCTTCTTATATTTGAATAAATCTTTTTGTAAATAAATAATTAATTGGTTATATTTCTTTAATGGTTTCTTATGTCGCGTTTCATATAATACTGTATTTCGTACTTGTTGAATATTATTCAAAAGTTTATTATAGCATAATTTATATTTACTTAATTTTTTTTCATTTTCTTCAATATATTCAGTAATAAGGATAATTAAATGTTGTTTCGTTAGTAAGCAAAGTATTATTTTCTCTTTTTCTTGTTTAAATCGTTGATAATTTTGATTATTTAAATCAGTACTATGTTTTATATAATCGAATTTCTTTTGAATATTTAACATTTGTTGTTGTTCAGTATGAAATGAATCGATATATGCGGTTAAATGATTTTGTTGTTTATTGATTGTTGTTATTTGATTTAATAATAATGAATTATTTTTATTGAGAAATAAGATATCTTGTTTTATTTGATGACAAATAATTTGATTTGAATGTAAAATTTTCTTCATTTGATTTTCATCTATTAGATTCATATGAATTGAATTATTATTTTCTTTTCTAAATAAAATGAAAAATTTCTTTGTCTCTTGAAGATAAAGAATAACTAACCGTTGTTGTAAATAAATATCAATTTCATTTTGAAATATTAATGTATTTGATGTTGATGATAATTTTAATGAATTAAATTCTTGAAAAAATTTATTTGTATTTATT